ATGCGAAACTATCAGTATTCCATCGTGAAGAAGGATGTTTACATCATGCTGCCAAGCTGCCACATAAGGAGTGATGAAACAGCATGCTGTTAAGACAAAGACTTAATTCAGTTATTAAAAAGACATACTACTCAGCCAAACTCAATATTATGCGAGGTGGAAATGAGAGCTTGTGGGCTGTCGTGGAGCCAGGTTGAAAAGATTTCAGAGAAAAGAGCGCATTGGAGACGTGCTACTGAAGCCCTATGTTCCATTAGGAACCCAAAGGATGAATAGTAATAATAAAAACGAAATCTATACTTCAAAATAAACCTCATCACTACACAGATGATTATGTCACATCCCGTTGTGTATACCAATTTAAATGTGTTTGTGAGATGACAAATATATTTGGAGAAGTAATCGAACAATGAAGTCGAGGGTTGTGAATCAGATCCCTAAATGGTTAGAAAAAACAATTACATTCAAATAATGGGATAAATATAGGGGATAGACAGACATGATTGTCGATAGGTAAAAGCATTATAGAAAGAGGTCATAGGATTGATTGCAAAACAGACTTTAGACCATTTTACAAGAGCTGTCAAGACCGTATACTTTACTTAGGTTTATTGAAGACTTAACTATACGAAAGTTTAACCCTCCTCTGTGTATTCTAAGACAGTTTGTGCTTACCTTAAACCTACCTTGGTAATCTATATTTCATTTAAATACCAAGGTAGGTGTGAAAAAGTATTATTCCTCCTTATTATCCCTATATTTTCCAAATCATGTATTATCTTAATTTATCTATTTTAACCCATCCTATTTTCATTTTTTATATAAAATACCTTGACAAGTTAATGTGTGGTCAGATTGCTCAGAATACATCACATTTCTAAGATAACCTCCGTCTTATCGTACTATGTAAATTCATCAAAGAGACAAATTGCTTTGAATACATTTCATCAAATTATTCCCTTTTAGGTTGTTTAAATCTTTTAAATACGTTGTTTAACTCTTCAACACTTTTAAAATAGTTTCAAGCTAAGAACAAGAATAGACGATATGTCGTTTAAAGATGGGCTTATGAGTACACAGAAATACAGTACACTACTATTAGTTAGATAACTAAGTCGAATTCCATATCTATGCACTGACTAAATTGACTACCACCACCAAAATTACACTCGATATTCTTTCTATTCACCAGTTCAAACTAGACGCTAATGGAATATCAAGCGTCTACTTCACATTGTGCCTTTCATTACTGTTATTATTAACACTAATCAAAAGTAATGCTTACTTCGCATAAAATTATCGTTTTTAAAAAATAGTTTTTTTGTATCATTTGGGTTCCTAGGGGAACGTAGGGCTTCAGTAGCACACCTCCATTGCAATCTGTTCTCTGCAGTCTTTTGAACCTCGCTCCACCACTGTCAACAAGCTCTCATTTCTTCCTCGCATCATCTCCTCCATGTCGCCCCTCAGCTGGGACGCCCAACTCCTCGTTTCCCCTTTGGATCCCACTTGAGGGCCTGGCGTGGCGCGTGATGTCTCCAAATATTTTTTCAGTGTATGCCCAATCCATCGTGCCAGGCTCTCGAGTGGAACCCAGATGGGAAACAACGAGTTGGGCGTCCGAGGGTGACATGGAGATTGTATGAGGAAGAAATGAGAGCTTCTGGGCTGTCATGCAGCCAGGTTGAAAAGATTGCAGAGAAGAGAGTTCACTGGAGACGTGATACTGAAGCTCTGTGTTCCACTAGGAACCCAAGGGACAAATAATAGTAATAATAATAATGATAATAATAATAATGCCCATTCCATCTCCACTTTCTTCTGCATATTTGTTGGGTGGTAGGTTCTTGGTTAGTTCCTTCCCAGAGTTCTCCGTTGCTTATTCTTTCTGGGCTGCTTATCCGATCTTCAGTATCGAGCCAGCGTAGGCAGCAGCTGTCGATGAATATCTGTGGTTTGTTGAAAATGCTTTACATAACGCACCAAGTCTCTCAACCATCATACAGAAGCACTGGATTGACTGACATTAGTGTTGAAAATCCGGATCTCGTTCACACTTTATGCTGAGTACGTGCAGTAGATCTCCATATTGTTTATTTCAGATTGATGAAAGCCTGTCTTGCTGTCTTTCTAATCCTGGTTTTGACATCGTCGTCCGTACCTGTGCCGCCTGTGGTTGAAACGATGCTGCCTGCCTAGGTAGGTAGGTGGAAGAGACGACTTCCTTTAGGTTTATGCCATTCATGGTTATTTGTGCTTCTTGTTGTTGGTTGGGTGTTTTCACCTCTGTTTTTTCTACACTCACTTGAGGTCCTATCTTCGCTGCTTCTTTTGTCAGCTTGTTGGTCTTTGCTCGTAGATCTTCAAGTTTGTAAGTCGAGACATTAGACACAAATGATCATCGGCAAAATCCAAATCTTCTTTTGGGGTCTTTTCATCGGTCCAGCTAGTGTATGCCCATCTTCTCGTTCCTCATTGTATATGTTGCATGATCCAGTCCAGTCGACCACAATCAAGAAGATCATCGGTGATAGTAGGCGGCATCTCAAACAGTCTAACCTATAGTACACTTATTGCTATTTATCTCTAATTAAACTGAATTTATCAAGTCAATGAAAAGTTTAACTAAACAGCTAGAGTGATAAGGTATGTCAACGTCAAGTCAACTTTATTAGGAGTCTAAGATGAAGTTAACTATCTGCATATGTAAGTTAAGCAAGAGGACTTAACTATCCTAAACTGTTCTGTTATGAGTTTGAATAAGTTCAGCTGAACTGTTGACATCAATCTGAGAAGCGGAATAATCACCTAATATTTGAATAAATGTGTATTGTGAAACAAGATGAGTCGATGTAAACTGTTTTATAGAATTGCATTGGTTGAATTTGTTATATTAGGTGCTGATCAGTTTGCTAAGTAATATGTTTCATTCTGCCACTTAACTGTACAATTCTCATATCTAGGTTGATAAACTGTAGTTCAAACAAGTCAGCATTTACTGGAACATTTACTAGCCTCGCTTTTTGAGCTAAGGATAAGCTGAATACAACTAGCGCCGACTGGAGACATCACGTGCCAAGCCCTTGAGTGGAATCAAAAGGAGGAAATGACGAATTAGGCGTCCGAGACGACAGTAACATGAAGGAGATCATGTGAGGAAGAAATGAAAGCTTGTGGCCAGTCGTGGCGAAAGGTTCAAAAGACTTCAGAGAAGAGAGTGCAATGGAGGCGTGCTACTGAAGCCCTATGTTCCACTAGGAACCCAAGAGAAAAATAATAATAATAATGTTTTGAAAGTTTGAACGTGTTATCAAAACATAAAGAGTTAGCTATGACTCCGCTAGAGTTCTAACCCAGGACCTCTAGGTTCCGCGGTCATCTGTTCAATACTCAACGATGACATTGGGTGATGGTCAGGCTATATAGTAATCTGACAGCAGTAGGAAATATAAACCACTGGAAGCTAACCCAGTGGCTTAATGGTGCTGGCCGTGGAACTTCAATGCCCTGAGTCCGATCCTTGGCAGGGTGTGCACTATTAAGGAGTTTCATGCTAGGATGAAACAGTTTTCCAGTGCTCCCAGGTTTCTAATTTCCCTTTAACTAATGTCATTTCATGATGAATACCAGCTTAAAATCAATAACCCCCCCCCATATAAACCCCGAATAGATCAGATAATTTTATTCTTAATGAATACAATAGCCACAGTAATATATCGATAGAATCTATTGAGCTTATAAATACAGTGAGAAGAATACCGTAGTGTAAGAAAATATCACTAGGAAGACAATAGGAAACAAACAATAAACCATAGAGGCTCAAATTTTCACTTTACCTTCAATTATCACTCAGTTTCAATACACGTCTGCTAAACCGTTAACTTATCTTACAGACTTTAAGGTATACAACATAATATAATTAAATTTTTTTAGTTCATAACACTATGAGTCTTTACCGTCTCTAAATGTTACTACATCTTTGACAAATACAAAGTATACTTAAGTAAGTAAAACAATTCAAACATATTTCAATAGATGTTATATTACAAGTAAGAAATGATAAACTATACATAGTAGGAGTAGGACGAATTGGATGTCCGAGGCGAGGGTGACATGGAGGAGATGATGTGAGGAAGAAATGAAAGCTTGTGGGTAGACGTAAAGCCAGGTTTGCAAGAATTCAGAGAAGAGAGTACAATGGAGGCGTACTACTGAAGCCCTATGTTCCACTAGAAACCCAAAGGAATAATAATAATAATAAATAGGAGTAGGATTTAACCTAGATAGTTTCCCAAAAGCGGTTTCTGATGGCATAAGTTATCAAATGTATGTGATCAGTAAATGAATAGTAAAGCAGTTTTCAATTCAAGAACTATCTGAAATAAATGAGTAAAGACATGCATAATAAAAATGTAACATGATATCTATAGAAAATATTGGCCATATACAAAGAGAATATTTCTAAAATGAGAATTACATGAACACAATTACATTTTAATTGAATTTTGAGGGAGTTGTGGGATTTAGAAATATTTCAAGTTGTTATTCATCATAGACTGACATCAGTTGAAGGAACAAAGGAAACCTGGGAGCACTGGACAGCTATCTAGTCCTAGTATGGGACTCCTCAGCAGTGTGCAGCCATGACCGCTGGAGTCAAAGCCTGATGGTCATGAGGACAGTTACTCAACGATGACATTGGGTGGCGGTTGCTCTAAATCGTAAGCTAACAGAACTTGAAAATATGGAGCATTGGATTCTGAACTAGTGGCTCAATGGTAATGCGCTGGCCGTGAAACCTGAGGGTAGCGGGTTCGATCGCTACGGGGGGGGGTTGTGGGTGCGTCCTGCTGAAGAGTCCCATACTAGGACGAAACAGCTGTCCAGTGCTTCAAGGTTTCCATTGTTCCTCCAACTGATGTCAGTCTACGATAAAATAACAACTTGAAATTACATTTTAGTCAAAGGTGATAAAATATCAAAACTGATTACAAACTTACATTACATGATATTCTTGAAGTATTTAAAATTGATTCAGATGTTTTCCGTTTACATTTTAACCGGTTGCATAATTTATCTAGTGCAGAAAAATGTTTACTCTTCTTCAATGGATACTGATTATTATTTTCTTCATTATGATGTTGTTGTTGTTGTTGTTGTTTAGATTCATGATGTTTTTTCATTTTATGTGGATAAATTTCTGTCATTTTATTTAACCAATTTTGAAAAAATTCAGCATTAGCATAATACAATGGTCCACCATATTTTAAAATAATAATGTTAGGCAATTTTATAGCCTAAAATTTAAATGAAATAAAAAAATTTTAAGCAATTTTTAGTGTGTAGTAAGAAATCTGAACATCTAACTTGTAAAAATTAATGATAGATAATAACTAGTATGACCAATGAACACGTGTATTATGTTATGCTATGTTACGTAATACAATTCGAAGAAGGCATTAAACTGAACAATTTCAAGTTGTTATTCATCGGAGACTGTCATCAGTTGGGGGAACAAAGGAAACCTGGGAGCACTAGACAGTTGTTTCATCCTAGTATGGGACTCCTCAGCAGTGCGCACCCACGACCCCACCAGTAGGGATCGAACCCGCGACCTTCAAGTTCCGCGACCAGCGCGTTACCATTGAGCTAGCCACTGGGTCACAATCCAATGCTCCATATTTCAAACTTCTGTTAGCTCACGATATATAGCGCAAACCGCCACCCAATGTCATCGTTGAGTATCTGTCCTCATGACCATCAGGCTTTGACTCCACCGGTCACGACTTCTCATTGGAACTTCGGAAATACTTCTCGAAACTAGTCACCAATGAGCACCAGTTCAATTAAATTTTGAGGGAGTTGTGGAGATTTGGAAATATTTCAAGTTGTTATTCATCGTAGACTGACATCAGTTGGAGGAACAAAGGAAACCTGGGAGCACTGGACAGCTGTTTCGTCCTAGTATGGGGCAACTTGAAATAATTCAAAATCTCCACAACTCCCTCAACATTTAAAGTGAACAATATTGTTTTCAATTAGCTCTCATCAGGCTTTACGCTAATATTCACAATTTTTTTCTCATATATAAAGCACCAAACCAATCATAGTGGATTATTTAGACTGTAGTAATTAAGCAATGAAGCATGCAAATAGTAGTAGATATCTAGACAATAATAATAATAATAAAGCAATAAAAATTTTAAATAGTAAATAGTAAAGTGAGTTAGCGAACGAATTTCATCAGGACACACCTAGTGAAGTTTTATTCCACTGACTGTCTACAGCCATCAGAAGAACTTTTTGTACTGCTAACCTCTGCTTGTCATTTTCTAGTCGGCTGATAATTGTTGCCCAGACAAAAGACAAGCTACCTAGTTCTGCCATTTCGGTGTGTATTTATCAGTTCAGCTGCTCCTGAGGAGAAAGCTATATTGGGTGTACAACTAGACAGCTTAACAAACGTGTTGTTGAGCACCTACCATCATAGCTAGGAAAGGGACAAGTGAAGTCAATACGAAGCTCAATTCTGTCACATTTAGTCGACAGTGGTCACGTGATAGACAGGACCTATTCATTCAAGATCATCTATCAAATTCCATAAAATCTTTCGAACAGAATTCGTAACCGCATTTTGCATATAACTGAGGCTATGGGAATTAGAGAAAACAAACTTAGTCTTTGTGTGCAGAAAAAGTTTGTGCAGCCTTTACCTCTGTCTGCCTTGGCCAGAGAAAACCTGATAAATATCTTTATGTAAATTCAATTTTCATCCTCTTCCCCCTTTTCACACATGTTTACCTGTTTGTTTAGACTTTGATTATCTATACATTTCATCTTTTAGTATTACGTAACTTTTATTTTTCTAAGATTTGATCGACACTGTTTGTTTAAATATTTGCAGTACCATGCTGTTTCCATTGTTCTTATTATCACTGAGATAATTATTATTATTGCTATTATTACTATTATGATTGTCTAGATATCTGATACACTATGGAGTGCCACAAATCTTTATCAACCTCATTCAACAGCTTTATGAAGACACCACATGCCAAGTGATCCAAAATGGAAAGCTCAGAGACGCGGAACAAGATCCGGATTTTCAACACCAATCCAGTTAAGTCAGTGCTCCTATGTGATGGTTCAGAAACTTGGAGAGTCACGGAATGCACTTCCAATAAACTACAGACATTCATCATCAATAGCTACCACCTACACTCACTCCATACTGAAGATCAGATGGCCAGGAAGAATAAAAATATGCAACAAGGAACTGCGGAAACGAACTAACGAAGCAAGAACCTATCGCTCAACAAATATGTCGAAGAGAGTGGAGATGGATTGGGCATATACTGAGAAGGCTGACCGGGGACATCACGCGCCACTCCAAGCCTTCGAGTGGAATCCAAAGGGGCGTCCGAGGTGAGGGTGACATCAAGGAGATCATGTGAGGAAGAAGTGAAAGCTTGTGGGCAGTTGTTGAGCGAGGTTCAAAAGACTGGAGAGAAGACAGTGAAATGGCGATGTGCTACTGAAGCCCTTTGTTGCAGCAGGAACGCAAAGGTAAAATAATAATAATAATAATCATAATAGATATCTACTATTTACATGCTTCATTTCTTAATTACTACAGTCTAAATAATCCACTATGATTGGTTTGGTGCTTTATATATGAGAAAAAAAATTGTGAATATTAGCGTAAAGCCTGATGAGAGCTAACTGAAAACAATATTGTTCACTTCAATGTCTAATTTTGAAAGTGGTAATTTTTAACGTCATGATATGACTCAAGCTGGATCTGAGCAACCAAGTCGATATTGCGGAACTTTAGTTTACAGGTTCAAGGTTAGAGGCTTGTACGCCTTAGTAGTTTGAACAAAGACAGTGTTCATTCTTATCAGCTTCGAATATAAACATGCAAAATTTAACTAATAGAAGTAAAATAAAACCACTACTGCTACCTCAATGTATGTGGAATAATGAATAAAGTAAATTTTGTGTACTCATAGTTATAGCTGACAATCTAACAATTTGATTCTCATGAGTATCACTGAAGTATATCATTCAGTAGACATATTTCTGCCTTACATTATCAATTATACCTTTTATGAAGAAGTTTATGATACGGGGTTGCTAGCTAAACAAATCCCATTTACTATAATATGAGCAACGTTTAGTGAAATATGTGATGGTTATTTTTATACAAATTCGTAAAAGAATGAAGTATGTGTTAGGGTAGAGTTAGTATGAATTAGTTAATTGTACACATTCAAAAACCTATTAGTACACATGTATTACGTTTGGACAATGAATGTTTCAAGTGAGCCATCTATAATAAAGTTCACTTCAGTAAATAGTCTTTTAGAAAAGAAGAGATAATTCAGTGAGGATAATTTTCCTTCTCCACAATATCATCTTCTAAAAGCATACAAACGTATTTATATATACCAAAAACATAACAGTCTATTATTAAAGAACATCAGTTAGCTAGTGCTAAAAACGCCCTGGCGTTTGAAGCGATTGCTCCCAAGTCCGTATCCCGGTGGGAACAACATCAGTAACTGGGAAGCAGGTACATCCGGCTGACGAGTCCCAAATAGGACGAAATGAGCATCCTGGATTCCACTGCTAGCCACAATCCATCATTAATATAATTAGAAGGCAGGCAATATCAAGGCATCCGCACAGGAGCCCATATGCCAATAGAGACCCACCAATTCGGTCCAATTAACGACGGTATGATATAAAAACAATTGTACTACGATTTGATGAGTTAACAACAAGACCAAGAGAAAATATCACAGTAGGCGGTAGTTGGCAACTAAACTCACAACAGAACATCATTTAGCCATTACAGGAACAGGTAGTTTGAACAGAAAATTTTCATACTGGATGAATGAACCTCTGCCACCGAAATTACTTGTGCTTTTCTATCTGACCCACATGAAATAACAGACAAGCTAGGTGATAACCTAAAAACTACTGGTCTCTGTGCATAACTGCCTATCATACTGTTATTAATAACATTATTCAACTGCCGTGGTTATTTAGTTTGAAAACATTGAATTCCAAACTGTAGTGGTGGTCTAGAATGAAGCGATTATTATTATTATTATTATTGAAGTTATCAAGTGTGAACAGTCAACCATCGAACTTCATATCTACCAACAATTCCAGTGTTGTCGAGCTGCTTACCTCTCTCGTTAGTTGCATTGCCCAATAGGTTATTACGTAACTGTTTTCCATTGTCGATTTCAGTTTTTACCACTAACTTCATGTTGCAGTCATGTCCTAATGTTCAATAATGGACTGTTATATGTTTGTGATAGGTATATAAATACGATTGTACGGCTTTAGAAGATGATATCGTCAAAAAGGAAACTTTTCGTCGCTGAACTACTCCTTCTTTTCTTTATGACTCAATGGGCATCTTTTTTCGTCTAAATAGTTATGTTTTTCTTGAGTTATATTTATTTAATTATCCTCTTAACCACCTCTGCTTGTGCCATTTAGCAAGTTTTACGCAAGCTACCTTCAAATCCATACAACATCTTCATTTCGTAAACTCTAAAATTAAACAGTTTGTAAAAGTGCTACCTCACTTTACACAAGCAAGGATACCTAAGTCTTAAGTAGCTGTAATAAAGAACTGCTCAATTCGATTTTTGACGTAATTCAAGTTCTTGGTACATAGTTGGTGACAACGCCTAGTTATCCTACATTGCTATCGTGATAACCAAGAAAGTAAGAAGTCCTTCACTGAACAAAAAAATACATTCCCGCTTAAAGATATACCTTTCAGCTACATTGGTCCTAAATTTATTTCTGACTATTACATCCCACGTGAATGTCCATAAGTAAGGTATGTACTTTGCATCGTCAAAGTGCCAAGCACTTTTGAAAGACTGACAGAATCCTGCACCTACGCTCACCTTCGGTGGCAAGCCCCCAGAAGTAGTCATACGTTCATGTATCTGAATAGTTGTGTGATGCAATTTCTAAGCGCATATCGAAAGCCAGTGTGGCATACGTCAATTTGGGCCACATTTGGAGCCATCTTGACGTCAATCTGACTGTAGAAGGTCGGGTTTATGACGCTTCGATGCGAGTGGTTCTTCTCTACCAATGTGAAAGTTCACCTCTCCAAGCTGAGGATGTGCGATGACTCTATGCATTCGATAATCGTTGTCTCCGTAGGACTGCTCGTATCCGGTGACAACACCATGGGATTAATTCTGAGGTGTGACTGCGTGTGTTTAGGCATGATGGAGATCGTCATTCAATTAGTAAAGTCATCTGGAAACAACGCCCTCAGGGGCTTGGATATGTGTTCCGCATTTCTTCCCAATAGCTTCCATACCGTTTATTGTTTGCTGGACCTGAGATGGGGCTGGATGGAAGAAGCGTAAAAGTGGTCACTGTATGATGTGGCACCGCGGAAAGAAGGACACTTGTATAGATTTAGCATCTGTTAGTGCATCACGATTCCCTGGGTGAGGTCCGAGAGATAACGCAACTCAATGTCTTGATACGTTATCAGATACGGCTTAGAATCAAAACTAGTGGTGATCATGCCTCCTTCCATCTTCTGTTGCTGAAAGGTAATGAATGTTTTGTTTTGAATGTATCTTACTGAACTGTCCTTCTAATCATTCTATTCTTATTGTCATTCTCTTTCTTATTTATCCACTTTCTATCGTCTATGTCTTCGCAATGTTGTTTTATTATTTTGCATGGCGCATTTCTTGATAACCTTGATGTACCACGTTTGTGTTCCAACAATAATAACAGTAATAATGATAATAATAATCATATGAATGTCCAATAATTTTTGAGTGTTTTTTTTTTACAGCTACTCTTACTTTAACAACTAGAATGAGAAGCAGAAACCCAATTTAAATGATTCAGTGTTTTAAACTGAATCATCCTAGATATACTGCCATAAGATCAGTAAAAAGCCAGTAAAATAGTAAACCAATCGTTAGATAATTTTTATCTAGCTAGGAAATACTTCTGAATAGTATCTCTGGTTTACACCTACTTACCAAAGTTTACAGTATATATCATAGACCTTACGTGCTTACAAAACTAAAGCTATTATTCATATCGAACAGACCAGTCTGGAGTTTGAAGTGAAGTGGATCCTAACTGAAAACCTTGATGAATAGTTTTGTGCTATATCACTAATTGACAGAAATAGGAAACTGTGTACCACCCAACTCCAACTCAGTGGTTGAATGATTGACACGTTCGCCGTGAAAACTGAAAGTCATGGGTTTGACCCCTGGTAGAGTCATGGGTGTGTACTGCTGAAGAGTCCTATGCCAGGACAAGAAAAGTGTCTAGTGCTCCTAAATTTTCAACAGTTCCCCAACTAGTGTTGATTCATGATGAACAGAACTTTATAAAAATAAAATCCCCATAAACCTCTAACTACACTTCAGAATGTATTTTAAAAAGACCTGATGTGAAATCAAAATATAAATTCACCATCATTCAATAAATACACAATGAGAAACTGAGTTACTGTAAGTGACATCTGGACATTTTAAGTAAAAAACACAAAATGCCCTCGAAACATAGGAGTTTAAAGTGAAGCATATGAAAATTCAAAGTGTATCCAATCAGAGATAAATTCGAAGCAGTGCTACGTACATCAATGCTAAGGCTCAATGCATAAGGTTGGAGACTAGATAACTCAGTTAGTCATAATGTAAACACCCACTAAATGATGTATCTGAGCTATGAGAAATGCGAACCCAACCGTCGACTCTTGAAATTAACTGAAGTGATGTTATTACTATTTATTGATATACTTGTTATTCTCCGTCGTTTTGTTGGATCGAAGTGTTAGACCTCTGAAGTGATGTTAGGTTACAGAAATGTCAAGGTAAGGCAAAATAAGGTAAAGTCATAATGAATAAAGTTCAAGATTGCCGGTTTAGGTTACTTAAGGAAATCTTAAGAGAAAATACATTACCAGATTATTTATTATTATTATTATTATTATTAGTCCCTTGGGTTCCTAGTGTAACACAGGGCTTCAGTAGCACGTCTCCATTCTACTCTGTTCTCTGAAATCTTTTCAACCTGGTTCCACGACAGCCCACAAGCTCTCATTTCCTCCTCGCACGATCTCCTCCATGTTACCCTCACCTCGGACGTCCAACTCGTCGCTTCCCATGGGGATTCCACTCGAGCAACTGGCCTGACGCATGATGTCCCCAGTCGGCCTTCTCAGTGCATGCCCAATCCATCTCCACTTCCTCCTGCATATTTGTTGTGTGATAGGTTCTTGGTTGGTTCTTTACCAGCCAGAGTTCCTTGTTGCTTATTCTTCCTGGCCATCTGATCTTCAGTAGCGAGCGCAAACAGTTGATGAATGTCTGTAGTTTATTGGAAATCCCTTTCGTGACGCGCCAAGTCTCTGGACCTGGTTAACTAGTTCACTAGTTACTAGCCGGTCCTAAGCCCAGGTAAAGAGGGAAGGTTGGGCATAGGGCTAGCAACCCTACCCCGTAAAACAAATCTAACCGCCAAAGAAACTTCAAAGCACATTACCAGATGAAGATATGAATCTCACATCAATGTAAAAGCTAATCAAAACAACACCACTTATTACATTAAGAATATTGAATAAGATCTTTCAAGAACGGCAAATAATTACTTACTTCATCATATTTTTTAACGTCCACATAAATATTAGTATTAGGAATTTGACCAAGCTCATAATAATAAGATGATTGAGTACGATACAATACTGTTAATAGTGAAAAGCATAAGCCAATCACTAGACCTATTGGAACATCAATAAAAGTTGTGGCCAGAAATGTTACAAGCCATATGAGCTAAAGGAATGTGATAAAAATAAGAGGAATTATGAGTATTATTTTCATAAAAGAGGACTAGGGACAATAGGTGAACTGATAAAACACCTAACAGATTGTATACTGAAGAGTATAACTACCAAATCGAAAGAGTACATTTATTTAAATGTTTTTACGCCTTATTGAAGACTGCATTTTTGTTGAATAATAGCTCACTATTTCATATAAAAAAGTGTTAGAAACAGTAGCATATAAATTGCCTAGTAAATACTTCTGAGTATCATGTTCTTATGAGGAGAATTCTTATTCAGGTCAAAAGTGAATTCAGATAACTTCTTTAAAATATAGAAGATCTGGATACTTTACTAAATGGTCAACAAGAAATAAACGACAACAAGTTGACTACCTGTTTTTCGCAAGATTGACATCTAAAAAAACCTTATACAGATTTTAAAGGTACCGATATTGTAGATTCACAGAAACAGTCGATAAAAAGTTATAAAGTTCTGTTCTTTGGTTAGTTTGAAAAGTAAACATAACGTATGTCATTAATATAGGAGTAAAACTTGGGGATAATGATAGATTGTAATTTCCTTTTAGTCTGTTTATTAGAAATATTAAAAATACTACCAACCCGATAACAAAGAAGCAGAGAAGATTAGAACTATATAACTATATCTCAAAGTTCTGGAGTTATTTGATATGAATATGGACAACAAATTACGTCCAAAACGTTATCCAGTAAATAATACTGCTTCACTGTATGACATTTCTAATAAACAGACTGAAATGGAATAACGTACATCATGTTCTAATGAATAAAGGTGAATATGATACCAAGACATGACAATTATGTTAAAATGTTGTGAATCCAGTGGAATTCCCAATTCAGATCCCGGATACCGGTCGTCACTATAGTACCCTCTCCAGATATGGCTAATTCCTAGAAATTCAGGTTTCAAAATATGCTACATGATTTATTATAATGATAAACCATTTCTATCGTTATTAATATTTGCCTCTTAGGTTCTTAATGGAACATAGGGTTTCAGTGGCACGTCTCCATTCCAGTCTCTTCTCTGTGAACTTTTCAACCTAGTTCCACGACAGCCCACAAGCTCTCATTTCTTCCCCGCACGATCTCCTTCATGTCACCCATACCTCGGACGCCCAACTTGTCGCTTCCCATCTGGGTTCCACTCGAGGCCTGGCCTGGTGCGTGATGTCCCCAGTCGGCCTTCTCAGTGGATGCCCAATCCATCTCCATTTCCTTCCAGTGCATATTTGTTGAGCAACAGGTTATTGCTTCGTTGGTTCGTTGCCAGGCCAGAATTTTTTATTGCTTATTCTTATTATTCTCACCATCCATCTGATCTTCAGTATCCAGTGAGCGTAGGCAGTTGTTGATGAATATCTGTAGTTTGTTGGAAATGCCTTTCATAACGCACCAAGTCTCTCAACCATCGCATAGAAGCACTGACGTGACTGAATTGGTGTTGAAAATGCGGATCTTGTTCCACATGCTGAGTGCAGTGCAGTGGATCTCAACACTGGTTTCAGGTTAATGAACGCCTGTCCTGCTTTTCCTATCCTGGTTTTGGCGTCCTCGTCTGTGCCGACTGTAGTTGAAATGATGCTGCCTAGATAGGTGAAGGAGGCTATTTCCTTTAAGTTTCTGATGTTGATGGTGATTGAAGCTTGTTGTTGGTTGGTTGGTTATCTTCATCACCCCTGTCTTCTCTATGTTCACTTGAAGTCCCATCTTCTTTCGCTGCCCTGCCTCGCCTCTTCTGTCAACTTCTTAGTTTTCACCTGTAGATCTTCGAGTTTGTGTGATATTAGACACAAGTCATCACTGGCGAAATCCAAATCTTCTAGGATCTTTTCCCCGGTCCAGCCAGCGTATCTCCCTCTTCTAGCTCCTCACAGTTTGTTACATGATCCAGTCAACCACAATCAGGAATATCATGGGTGATAGTAGGCAACCTTGTTTCACTCCTGTCTTCACTTCAAAGGCATCACCGAGCTGAGCTTCCCATTGTGAATTACTTGGCATGTGGCGTCTTCATATAGTTGTTGAGTGAGGTTGATAAAGGTTTGTGGCACTAAAACCGTAATGTTGAAGCAGTTGGCTGCCAAATTACTTGTCGGTCAACGCTGTCGAAGGCCTTTTCAAAGTCGATGAAGTTGATGTAGAGGGTTGACTGCCATTCTATACTCTGTTCTATGATGATGCGAAGCGTTGCAATTTGGTCTGCACATGATTTGTACTTCCTGAATCCAGCCTGTTCCGGTCCTACTGCATATTTAAATAATGTTAGCAGATGAGCGTGATGAGTAATGACTAAAGAGTTAAGCAGTTTAGCAACTTTTCGAAGGGTTGAAATGACTAAACGAATAGTAACCGGAGATATATTTTTCAACAGAATTCGAAGCTTAAAAGACAAGGTATACAATATCAACCAATCATGAGACGATAAAACATCTGTATAGGATACTGATTATCATCAGTGGAATTCATTAGGCTGGTTTTGCATCATTTTCAATTAGCTAACTGGAAGCAAAAAAAACACAGGTATTTCTTATTCAATTCATTCTCATCTGATTGGCAAAATAAACCAATAAACCGCCAGTTTCTAACTAGTTATGTCATTCAGCGATAAAAAAGAGATATAACAAGTAAATTATCTTTGAAGGAGCTTAAAATTTATGCTAATTAGGAACTATTAAGAGTTAATCGTTGAATAACCATGACGTTTTCAATGTTGAATGGGTTTAAAGATGTTTATGCACAAAAGTATGGATATATTTTTAAATTGGTTATCTTTTGGATATCGAATATCACCTAGTTCCTTTTATTTTTTACCATAATGATTAAACGGAACGACCTTGAAGAGCATACACAATATCTTTTAGGTATAAGGTATGCAAGTATTGATCACCATTCTAGCAATTAATACAGCCTATGGAAATTTGATAGCACATATAATGAAAAATATGATAACTGAAAGCTTATCACAGTATTCATTTTTCTCTGATATGATGATTTTGGCACCCTTTATTATTATTATTTTTTAAAATTCTCTCAATATTTCAATAATTTATTGGATCTGTTAACCGATAACATTATTTTTTCCCCCAGTCTATCTATCCTATTCCACTAAATATCTCAGAGGTATGAAAACGTCAATACAGACGTCAGTTTGTCTTGCAACAATATTGTTTACAAGTAGTACAAAACTATAACTTGCAGTATGTCATCAACTTCTATTCACTAGCATCACATATACTGGCTGATATCCAACTTGAGTGTCACACAGTTTGAATGTTTAGTCTTGATTCACATAGAGAGTATAAATAATTGATGCTCAAATAAAGGTCAACTGATCTATCACATATCTCCCATTTAGTCTTATAAATGCCTGAAATGCTTCTGATTATAAAGATGGGAAGTAAACTATGACTATAACTGAAGATAATTTAATCTTTACATAGTCTAGTAATAACGGAGATTACCGATAAAAATGGTAAAATGATAATATTTCAAGTTGTTATTCATCGTAGACTGACATCAATTGGAGGAACAAAAGAAACCTAGGGGCACTGGACAGCTGTCTAGTCCTAGTATGGGACTCCTCAGCAGTGTGCACCCACGACACCGCCCCCAAAGAATCGAACCCGTGACCTTCAGTTTCCTATGGCCAGCATGCTACCGTTGAGCCACTGGTTCAGAATCCAATGCTCCATATTTTCAACTTCCGTTAGCTCACGATACAGAGTGATCTGCACCCAGTGACATCGTTGAGTAACTGTCTTCACGACCATTAGGCTTTGCCCCCACCGGTCAAGACTTCTCATTGGAACTTCGGGAATACTTCTCGAAGCCAGTCAATAATGAGCACCAGTTCAATTGAATTTTGAGGGAATTGTGAGGATTTGGAACCACTGGCTCAATGATAACATGTTGACCACAAAATCTGAAGGTCGCGGGTTTGATCCCTGGCGGGATCGTGGATGTGCACTGCTGAGGAGTCCCATACTGGTCGGACGAAACAGCTGTCCAGTGTTCCCAGGTTTCCTTTCTTCCTCCAAGTGATGTCAGTCTACGATGAATAACAACTTGAAAAATGATAATAGTCAAAAGTTAGGTATTTCTAATTATCAAAGAATACTCACCATGTCATAAATAGAGGCACGATATAATTTTGGTAGATCAGTAATTTGTAGAAATATACTTTCAAGGGATACGACAATAATAGAGGACAAAACACACTAAAATATGAAGTGAAAAGAAAAAAAATTTTCAACAAGATTAAAACTGACAGCATGATCGTTTCAGGATGAATGAAACATAATTTGATAAAATAATAATATGAGTGAGGTGATAAGAGATAATATAATAATGGTAATAATATACTGTTACTAGTAAATACAGCTCAGCAAGCTCACACAAGATTTTGTACAACACCATAACAAACCCATCAGGTAGATGAGATGAAGTAGTACCGACCGGCAGGGAAAAATTAAGTGAATGGGAAATATTTCTGGTACTGTGATTCAGTGAGCTAGAGTAGTTTGGTCAAACTACTGTCTTTAACCGACAAAAAAAAAACGATAAGAATCTCTTGAGAACAGATCACTAGACAAGTTGAATTCAATAGTAAAAAAATGATATAACATATGAATGAGTTCCATTTTCATCAGTAAGTTTAATAATAACAGATACCAGTTATATTTTTCGGACAATTTTTCAATACAAGTTTTTAAGAGGAAGGCTTGATGTATAAGCGACTAATGATTTGGATAACAAGCTTTCTGTTTATCAAAAGTGTTTTAGCAGAGAAATCGAATAATAAAAGGACTGTTTTTAATTTGCCGACCGATAGCTGCTACTTCAGTTTAATGGCCAAACTATTTTGGTGGAACATTTGCTCCTCACGTCCTACCATACGAGAAAGGTCTATTGGATAGTGATAAGAAGAAAAGCAGTTACCATTATAGTGTAAATTACTACGCTATGATGAGGGTCTGAGGGAGAAGACGTACTGCTGCTAGTTGGATGAGGTGTGACACGAATGTTTCCCTTAGATGACTAGCAGTGCCGATCTGATGCTGCTTTTCCAACAGTAACAGGGTGGGGGGTTGGAAAAGGTCGGCCACAAAAATAATCCACTCCCATTCACTCGCGGCATGCCTATGCCTGCAACAGAGATTCATAGCAGGATTCAAAAGCAAAAAAAAAATCAAAATTTGCCAGAAGACCGTGTGTGACCGACGTCAAGCAGATGGTTCATAGGCTCTGCAGTCACACACTATCCCTTCTATCTCACGTACTTCAAGAAGAACTAGCCTTCCACAGTGTATGGGACCAGGAAGTGACAATTGCCCACACGCTTCCAGGTGTACACAAGACCCAATTAAACATAACCTATCTGTTTTTATTTCTTAACAGGTACCAATTTATTAGCAGTGACTAACATTTTCCTTGTAAATATAAATCTGTACTAAATTATAGATTTCTTCCTGATCATTCAGTGAATCCTAGAAACTATATCACTGTGGACATTTTGAAAAATAGTATAATCCCAAATAACAATGTTTGACAGTAAAATATAAGCAAATAACAACATAAATCTCAACGATAACTTAGTATTTTAATAGTAACGCAACACTATTGCAATTGCTTCAGTGCAGTGATGCTATGAATATGCGAAGATCATAGTCAATGCATCTTGATTAAGTTTGTAGTCAAGAATAAAACGTCTACAGCACAATTAGATCATCATAAAGTTGTATGAGGAACTTTGAACACTGTAAATAACTTTCAGATATTTCGAATTTGTTTCATACCATACACTTTAATTGTCATCCAAGTAAAATATCAATCAAATTAAGAAGTCACTGATGATAGAATGTGTAGATCATATAGATCATAATATCAGTGCTATCAGTGTTACACAAAACTCAGTTGAATAAACGGTTTTTTTAAACCATGTTATCTTTGATTGCTTGAGGAATGTGTTTAAACTCCTTCCAGAAAAAAAATGTTAAAAAACTAAGCTATAGCTAAAAAAAATAACTGACAACCACCAACATAGGGAATTATGCAATATATTAATTGGTTACTGAAGAGTAACCAGCTTCATATTGCCTAATTCCAAGTGCTGACTGGATTCCATCGATCATTTTTGCAATATTGCTATCAAGCTAGATGGTCTACTACCACAGTGCACTTTGATGGATGTTAGTTTGTTGAAGGCAATCAGCAGGAAGCCTTGGACCTGGATTTCGGGCTTTTTGTTACTCGTCAGCAAAGCGTATCTGCAACCTTTAAGGAACTGATGTCCCTTCTGAGATTCAAATCCACGCAAAAAATGATCAATATGATTCGATCAGCACTCAGGACTAAACAACATAACATCGGCTACTCTCCAGTGACTAATCCAATGTACCTAATCTAGTCCTACAGAAGGTGGAAAGCGGTTTCAAATAGCTCAGTAATAACGTTGATGCGGGTCCGAGCCTCGGAAGAAATGCCTATCTCCCAGAGGTTTCAGATACGTCCTAACTGGTGAGTGCTGACAAGCACGAAACTTAGGTCATGCAGGACTTCCTGATAAATGCTTCTAGCTAACTAATACCCAACGAGTTATACAATAAATAAGATTGTAATATGCATACGTTTTTCTGCCTTTTTAACTAATAGTCAATCTTACTAATCTTATTACAACTCCCTTGAAGTACCTGTTAAGTATTGAAAACCTAACTGTTGATTGAGATTTTTACTAAGATTTACAGGTCAACGATCTTCAGGTAATCAGTTCAAATTGATCCCCATATACTTGAATGTGGAGAAGTGAGTAGTAGCATTGCCAGCCCATGCACCAAAAATATGAGTAACAGTACAGTGCATAGATATAAATGTAAAGTTTACAAGTCAGCCGTGTAGTACACCAGTGAGCATAGTAATCAAAAAATATTCTATTTATCACTGGTTTGAACGAAATCACCAGTCGGATCTGATTCATATAAACCATATTTTGCAGAAGGTCATGTATGATAGGTCTCAGGTAGATGTTGCTTGAGCTCAGACGTCACGCTCCACCATTGTTAAATCAATTTACATTTTAGGTACCTCAAGAAGTAAGTTTCTAAAGTGTAGGACGTCTGGAAGTGATTATTAGCTTCAAATTTCTGTGAACATTCTTTTACGTTTTCAGTTCTTGATAACGATTCAAATTTAAGAGACAGTATCCTTTATCTCTTAAAACCGAGCTCCAAACTACATGTTAGAGCTTTTAATGCCTGTATTTTTCATCACGTCGGTCAGCGAGATTCGCTAGCTCAAACTTCGGGATCTCGGATATTGTTTGTGGTGTGTATGTTAGACACATATACAGGATCCATATATTGATATTCACTCAATCACATCCCCACAAATTGGTGAGTTTACCCTTCGACTTTTTAGAGATTCAACAACTGGTTCTCATAACCTTATAGGCGTACATATAGCATTCAGCAGAAAGTGTACTACTCAACTAGATTCCAATTGACAGTTGCCTGCGGTATGGTTAACTTAAGCAAACAGTGAAGACTAAAAGAAGGAGTTAAATTCGCCATTATTTGTTTACGATCTCTGTTTATTCACTTTCTGAATACAAGTCAGATGAAGTGAGGGATGAATTATGCTAAAAACTTTCTAGCCTTCTACTAAGTGTTCAAATACAAATCTTGTTGAAGGTGATTTCAAGACACAAGTAGGAAAAACAAGCCAGAATTAAAAGCATTTGAGTGGAGACTGATTACGCGTTAGTGTGAGCATCTGCACCTCTGCACCTAAATGGACCAGTGAAGTATCCAGAGAGAAGCTCAATAATGTTAAAAATAAAGCTGCTTTCAACGAAGAACTGGACAGGCAGTTATCAGAACACATTAAAACTTAACCTTAAGAAGCCTGGTTCTAGTTCCAGTCACCTGCAAAAACACTGTCAAAGACCGCAATTCACCCGCAAAAATGGTTGGCTGAAGCATGTAGATCACAGTAGTTTCTTATGAATAAATGGTTGCACACTAACACATTTCTACAGGCTCGAAGAACGATGAGAGAGAGAGGCAGCTTAAGTCCCATCGGAAAATATCCTAAGAAATAGTTATTGGTAGTGGTGGACAGGCAAGGCTACAAAGATGGAAACGCACTGGCAACAGGTAACAGCATTTTGTCTTCTTCAACTAATCAAACAAACGATAACAAAAATACTGCGATTCAATACGAAACACTTCTAGAAGAACCTCAATTAAAATCTATCTTCTCTTTGATCACAGGCTATCCAGTCTCTTTTTAAAGAAAAGACTATGTTACCACCTATAACCCTTTTAGAAGTCAAGAAGACTGGGGATAAACTGAAATGAAGAAGGGCAACAAAGCCAGATGGACCAGTTACTGATGTATTTATGGACGTCATCTAAGAATTGTAGGCTAAATTAATAGAAAAGTCAGCCAGTAGACGGAAGTAGATTTTAAATCGTTTGATCGATTCTAATTGCTGGTTGCTCCAATCTTCAGAAAATGATAGCAGCGCTGTCCACTCTGTCCTACTATATGGCTGTGGTTCATGGTCATTAAGTGTAGAGGAAATAAGAAGACTTCAGGTATCCGACCACCGTTGCCTTCTTAGCATAGGCCGTATGTCCATGGTGTCACCGTGTCAGTAACACAGAAGTCAGGCGAAGAGTTTTAGGGAGAAAAGTCAGCTTATGAACCTTTATCGACTGAAGTGACTGAGATATATGTTATGTACGTCTAGTCACAGTTTACCCCATCGCACAGTGTTAGCTAAAGTAGGTTTAGACTGCAAAAAAGTTAAAGTCTACAAGATTAAAATATGGCATCAGTTTATGATGTCTCTGATTGTTGATCTGAGTTGTATGGGGAAACGTAAACGTCCCAGTTGGAGTTTGCATGAAAAAAAATGGTTGGTTGAAGGTTCTTGGCGATACCAACCAGAATCGATCTCAGTGACAAAGGTGTATCCATGTATTTTCTTCAAACTATTCATGATACTGAATTGAACCATTGTTTTTACTCCCTCTTTTTTTAAGATGGTAAACAATTTTCGCTTACAGGATTTTCTTCTACACTTTTCAATCTTTCATTTTGCTACCTTCAGTCTCGATTTACCGATATGAATTGTTGAAACTTGAATCACGATGCAATAATGCTAGACTTGTAGTTGATATTCACTGACTAAAAGGTATTTTTTTAAATTGATTTTAGTGACTAGCAGAGGAATACAGATGCGTGTTTTATTCCATTTGGTACCTGTCAACTGGATGTACCTGTACCCCAGTGAGTGAAACTCGAACTTCGTACCCATCGCTTCAAACGCCAAGGCGTTATCCACTGTGCCACGGTGTAACGATAGCCACTTCTTGTACAACGGGTAGTAGTCATTACTGTTTACTGACATACTTGTTATTCTCCATTGTTTGTTTTGTTGGATCAAATTGTTCGACCTCCATTGGTATATGGGCTTCTATGCGGATGCCTCGATATTGCCTGAATGTTAACTATGATAATTTGGTTGGTTGTGGCTAGCAGTGGAATCCAGGATGAGCGTTTCGTCCTATTCGGGACTCGTCAGTTGGATGTACCTACATCTCAGTGAGTGATGTTGTTCCCACTGAGGTAAACTTTATGCATCAGGAGAAAAAAATCAATTTACAAATCATGCATATACTACTAACATACCATTGGTACAGCTTTTAGAAATTGTCCAACTACAGTAAGAACAAGTAACAGAATACAGCAGGATACCAAAGAAGCAACCTGTGGGTTGAATGAAAAGATTGATGTGAAAAACACCAACTTTATCAATTGTTATTGTCGATAAGATGAATAATTAACTCAGGAATAATAATCTTAAGTAGTTATAAAAATTCAAGATCTTGTATAAAATGAGAATCATTGGATGTTATCAAACTTTTCAACAACCCAGAAAGAATTGAAAGGAAACAGTAAAAGGCTATGGATAAGTGAAAATAGTATGAGTTTAGGTGAAGAGTAATTAGACTTATGAGCAGAAGATAAGAAATAATCACTATAATGAATATCAATATACTTTGAACTAAGAGTTTCAGGAACCTAGTTAGTGTTTTGTAAGATCAGTTAAGTTATCGAAGCTATCACTACTCGAGGAGTTCAACACGAATTATGTCATCATTATTTATTTATTTATTCTCTTGTATTCCTAGTGGAATATAGGGTTTCAGTAGCACACCTCCATTCCACTCTCTTCTCTGCAGTCTTTTGAACCTCGTTTCACGACTGCTCACAAGCTTTCATTTCTTCTTCACATGATCTCCTCCATGTCACCCTTTGGACGTCCAACTCATCATTTCCCCTTTCGCCATCTTTACCTTCGCTTTCATTGAGAGAAGATACATCGACCAATCAGCTTCCTGAAGGCTTTCACCAACCGGTATCATTTCGTCTCTCCGATTCCAGAGAGGAATAAGTTTATTTTTATGTTTTGTATTTTCTTTGTGCTTTGAGGTTTCTTTAGCGATTCGATTGGTTTTTTCGGGTAGGCTTGCTAACTCTATGCCTAACCTTCCTTCTTTATTCGGGCTTACGACCGGCTAGTAACTAGTGAAATAGTTAACCAGGCGTGGTTATTATGTCATCACAAAGAGATAAATTACCAACTTATTACTACTTTGATAATTAGTAACTTTCCAATCTGTCACTGACGAAAAACGTTAACATGTTTACTCAATGCTTATCCTTATCCCTACTCACAATGACCATCATTTCATTATTACCGTATTTGTTTTGATGATGATTATTTAATCGTGAAGCTTTCGTTGTCATTCTAGACAACATCATCGCCAAAAACTTCAGAAAGGAGTGAGTGATAGGGTCTTCTTCGTAATTTATTTAGCACCCTGTCTTGATTTATTGTTTCTGCCAACCTCTTGTCATTATCTTCATATTTATTTTGACTGGTTGCCATGATGATCAGCAATTTGACCTTCTTATTGCTTCTTATTAGTTGATTAATTGGGTCAGTGTCAATATGTCGGTTGATTGCTGACTGACCTAAATACCAAGCTTCTAAAAACTCTCTGGAATTCTTTATATTTCCTCCATCCACGATTGCAGTTGTCTGTAAGCACTGATATGAGTGAAGATATGTCATGATGCTTTATTGTTAATTGATATTCATGTAAACGGATGCGAAGAGGGTGACCATTCTGTCCAATGTAGCGGTCTTCGTAGTTTCTGCAGTTTACTTTGAAGATAATATTTGGTTTCTTTTCTTTTGCCATTATATCTTTCGACCTGTATAACATAGACTTTCCAGTGCTCTCAGACTTTCAATGGTTCCTCAACTGATATCAGTTTATTAACATATTGTTGGTAAAGATTATTATTAATCGACAAGAATATTTAACTAACCTGTGAACACATTCCAACACCATAAGCAACAGATGTTCTAGCTAAAGCCCCAGATGATGGTTGACAGCGAAAAAATCCAGATATTATATTGGATAATCCTAAAGCATTCAATTCCTTTTCAAGAAAAAGAAGAAGAAAGTTATAAGTGATAAATTTGAGTTTATTTCTACGAGAAATTTACTAGCTATCAGTGTAAAAACATTTCATAAGCATACAAATACTATAACATACGAAACTGTTTCCATACCGTAAAAGACTTTAACATAGAATGTATTTAAATATCACGTATAAAAAAACACACTGTCGATGATCATAGTAGACTATTCAGGAGAATAAATAAATAAAAAGAAAACCAACTCTACTTGATATCAATAGGGATTGATAAATTTAATTTTTCAACGATCTTATATTAATGTATAGGAAAAAAAATTTTTTTACTTTAATTATTGTAATATATTTAAAAACTATACGATTTCTCATTACATTTTCATTAGATAAAGAAATGAGATCGATTTTAATTAGGTAGGAATAAATACTTCTTTGTATGGAACCTTAGCTTGTTAAACTAAGCGCGCATAAATTTTAAATAGGTTTTAATTCTACGCCATCCTACTTCCTTCTGACCAACCAAATTGGACTGTATGCCCCCCCCCCCACATACACGAAGTAGGCCTCATTACCTAGTTTTTGACTGGTAGATAACAAGATATTAACATAAAAGCCAGTCTATAATTGATTCACTTAAAATATAGACAGATTCTATCGTTTCTAAGTATGAAGATAAATTTGATTACATGAAGAAATAAAAATTTTTTTCTTTAAGTGATTGAAACAAGTTCTAACGAACATAAGTTTGACTAGTATATTTTATGAAGCAGTTGAATGAACAACGATTTTTATTTTGTAGACCATGCTTAACGATGAAAGTTATACCAGATTATTTCATAACAGTTTTAAACTCATGAGCTGTGTACAGGAACGGCCATAAACGGTATAAGTATAGAACTGTCAGGTGTTCAGGTGAACACATTATCATTCAACTACTAAGCTAGGGTCCAATATTCCATATCTCCAACTTTCTGATTGAATAAGCATTTTCGATGTGTTGATGATATAACTTATTCAACTAGGAAGTTTCAAAACATGGAACATTAGATTTTTACTTAGTGCTTCAATGATAATATGCTCGTTTCAAGACCTGATAGGTCTATACTTCATTCTTATCGAAATCATCCATTGGCATGCAGCTCAAGATTATAAAATAAGAAGCGTTGATGATAATCTGTTATGAAAATTACTTTGAAAACTTTTTTTTTTATTTGTTAAACTGCATTTCTTAAGCATACTGTTTTTATAATGTTTCAGTTAGATTGTAATTGTACTATCTACTTTCTGAAGAAAAGCCTTTAGGTAATGAAACGATATACGCCTTGATTCCATTCAAGGTGAAATATGGAAAACCATTAAGAACAAGTTCTTAATGTTACTAAGACGACCTTATTCATGAATATACAATTAAGAGGAAACAGTGTGATAGAAATATTAAAAAATCGTCTTTTCAAAACATTCAGAAAAATATCCTATGCTACCGCTTTGGGCCACATTCATGTGTGTCTATCACTGTACCTGCTCTTTTGGAGCTGGTTATGTAGGTCGCACAAAGCGCAGACTTTTTAAATACATCTCTAAGAACTATCCTATGTGGTTATCCAGAAGGGAACGCAAGTTAAGCGGCAGTTCCATATTTGGTCAATTGGTCAACTCTGGTCATATCAAGATAAACTGATCGAAAGGAATTTGAATTCGTCACTAATGTATAGTAGAGGTGTTGGCAACTCAATAATTAAAGCCTGAGCTCTGTGTATAAAAGAGGTACGTTCATTCTCACATTGTGCCATGTTCATAACCCTTTCCTGAATTTATCTACTACTTTAATACTCATCTTACTCTTACAGACTGGTTATCATTACTTTTGTCCATGCTTTGGGGTTTACTTTATCATATCTCAAACATGCTAACTTCAATATCTATTAAAATTCCCATGATAATTTACTTTACTCCGATTATTGATTATAATCAGTATTAGCATTTTGATTATCTGCCACGGTTTGACAGACTAGTATTTATATTGGGTGGTGATTGAAAGTGAAATGAAAATTTGGACCGCAGAGGTACTCGAACCAGCGATTTTATTTCACTTCAATCATCACCCAGTCTAAATACTAGTCTGCCTAATCCTAGCAGGTAGTCAAAATCCTAATACTAATTATAATCAATGTAAATTCATGAGGCATTACTACCGCGAAGTGAAATTAAGATCTGGTCAGCAATCAGACCTCATAGTTCAGTTGGTAGAGCATCGAGCCAGAAACCCAGTGTTCACTGGTTCGAATCCGGCCACGGTCTAAATTTTCATCTCACCTTCAATCATTACCCAGTATAAATAATAATAGTTAAAATATAAGTTTTAGATAAAGCAGATACATTGTGTATTTCTGTATTGTTAGAACCAATAACAAGCAATTTTACTGACTAATGTCAGTCTTCGATGAATAACAACTTGAAATATTTCCAAATCTCCACAACCCCCTCAAAAATTTAATTCAGTTACCTTTTAATTCTTTTTTAACCTATCAGTTAATTTAAATCGGGTTTCAATACTTTTGTCTATTCAACTACATTATCCTTTTCACAATTTTTTCACTACCTATTAACTAACCAGGTGTAGTATAATTGATTTTGTACCATACCATCGTTGCTTCGACTGAACTGAACGGTCTCTATTAACATATGAGCTCCTTTACGGATGCCTTGATATTGCCTGCATTCTAACTATATTAATGATGGATCGTGGCTAGCAGTGGAATCCAGGATGCGGTTGAAGCGATCGCTCCTGAGATCCGATCCTGGTGGGAACAACACCATACAATGGGAATCAGGTAACATCCAGCTTGCGACTCCCAAATAGGACGAAATGCGCATCCTAGATTCCACTGCTAGCCACGATCCATCATTAATATAACCAGCTGTAATTTCCATATCAGTGTATATATCGTCGAGGGATGAGAGGTACAAAAGAGATTCAAATGCCAAATGATTACCTTTGTCTACCTTCTAAAGTGAATAATATTCAGTTAGTTATTTAATGAATTACAAGATTGATTGCTAAATTTCAATCTTTGAATCATACCAATCAGACTTCATTATTTCGCCGAAGACCCAAAGAACAAACTTTAAAAGGCATTTTCTGAATACTTAGATAATCTAACAACAGTACTAATTATAATGAAGAGAGTGATTTCAGTTTTTCATTAGTAATGATGAATACGCTTGCACTTCCATCATAGTAGATCTATTAGAATTTATTATTAACAATCTTCCCTTCCCTTTCTAGTGGAACATATGGCTTCAGTAGCACGTCTCCATTCCACTCTGCACTTCTCTGCAGCCTTTTTAACCTGGCTCCATAACTGACCATAAACTTTCATTTCTTCCTCATATCATCTCCTCCATGTCACCCTAGCCTCAGACGCCCAACTCGTCATTTCCCCTTTGAATTTCACTCGAGTGCCTGGCCTAACACGTGATGTCCCCAGAATGGTCTTCTCAGTGTACGCCCAATCCATCTCCACCTCCTTCCTCTGCATATTTGCTGGGGAATAGGTTCTCGCTTCATTCCCACAGTTCCTTGTTGCCTACCTATTCTTCCTGACCTGTTGATCTGATTTTCAGTATTGAGGCAGTGTAGACAGTTGTTGATGAATGACTGTAGTTTGTTGGAAATGCTTTACATAACGCGCCAAGTTTCTGAACCATATAACAGCACTGACATCACTAGATTGGTGTTGAGAATCCGGATGTTGTTTACGCTTTATGCTAAATGCAGCAGATCCCCACACTGTTTATTTCAGACTAATGAAGGAAGGCCTATGTTGTTAGCTTATCCGATCCTGACTTCGACGACCTCACTTATCCTGCTGTTGCCTGTAGTTGCATCGATGCTACCAAGGCAGGCAGGTGTACGAGAAAATATCCCTCAGATTTCTACCGTCGATGGTTATCGGTGTTTCTTCTTCATGCTGATAGTTGATGGTTTTTCTCTGTAAATCCACGAGTTTCTGCGACAAGACATTAGCCAGGAATGATCATCGGCGGTGAAATCCCAATCTTCTTGTGGGGTCTTTTCATCGGCCCAGCGAGCTCATGGCCATCTTCTCCTTCCTCACGGTTGCCTGTTGCATGATCCAGTCGGGTCTAGTTGACCACAATCAGGAATATGATGGGTGGTAGTAGACGGCAGCCTTATCATACTCCTTCCTGTCCTCACTTCAAAGGCGTCATCCAGTTGAGCTTACCATTGTGAATCACTGGGCGTGTTGTGTCTTCATATAGCTCTTGAATGAGATTGATGAAGGTTTGTGGCACTGAAATCGCAGTGTTGAAGTAGTTGGCTGTGAAATTACTTGCCGGTGGACGCTGTTGAAGGCCATTCCAAACTGGATGAAGTTGAGGTGAAGATCCAGTTGACTGCCATTCTATACTCTGTTCTATGATGATGGGTAGCGCAGTCCAGCATGTTCTGGTCGTAGTTTTCAATCCAGCTCATCCTCCTCTCTCTCTCTCTCCAGAATGATAAGGCCTAATATTTTGCTTGGGGTGGGCACAGGTGGAGCATGACTCCGTGACACTCCCTGCAAAGACCTAGGTCGCCCACCCATCTTTGGGAGTTTGACAAGGTAGCCCTTCTTCCAGTCAGTACGCGAATACCTTTCCTTTCTTCATTGTAGACCTTCTACAGTAGTGATGTGAGCATGTCCACTGTTGTCTCTGTGTCTGTTTTCAGTGATTGTGGAGGAATTCCATCTGGTCCTACTACTTTCCCGGATTTCAGAGACTTTATGGAGTTCAAGACTTCGACGTTTGTTGGAGGACTTGTGTTCACTGGCAATCATGTGGTTGCTGGTGGTATTTCTGGACGAGTTGTAGGTGATGGTGGCAGTGGTGGTGGTGGTGGTGTTGATTGTCTATTCAGGAATATTTTTGGAGTGGTCAGTCCATCGTCTCCTTTTCCTTCCTTTCTCCTCTCTTCTAACTAGTTTTCCCTCACTATCTAACCTGTGTTGATCTCTTCCCTCCCAGATAGTAACCTGGTTATTTGATATAATATTGTCAGGTCTCTCTTACCTAAAGCGTGTTCTGCTTCACTTGCAAGTGTGTCGTAGTAGTGCCTTTCGTCTTTCCACGCAGTCTTCATTACTTCTTTGTTCAGTGTTTTTTAGGTTGTGTTCACTTCCTCTTCTCCTCGTTCATCCTTGCACTTCACTTCACTTCACTGCAGTGCACCGGTTCATCTTCTGCTTCACCATCACCATCACAATCTTCCTCTCCCTCCTCTATCAGCTTCCAGGTTTCCGTCGAGATCCATTCCTTCCTTGTCTTCCCGCTTCTTCTTCCTTCCTAATCCGGTTATGCAGGTTTCTTTCCACATCTTTTTCAAAAAGTTCCAGTGTTCTTCCGTGCAAGTTCCTTCAGGGGTGTTGCTTGATATCTTCCATTTTGTCCTGATGGCTGACGTGATCTTTCAGTATAAATATCATTAAAATTCAGGCCTTTTATACATAAAGTATAAGCAGGAAAGTGTCCTATAGAGTAAACTCAAAAAAAGAGTGTAATGAATCTTAAATTTAAAATCATTTTCCTGCTGTTTTTTCTAAAACTTTTCTTTCTATTTATGAATTATTGGTGAGCCTATTGAGATAAAATAATATCAAAAAATAAGTTTAATCCCTTGTTAACTCTGTTTATGACTTATAAAATTTATTTATTTCAGGTTGGTATTCATCATGGACAGCCATTTCGTCCTAGTATGGAACTCACCAGCAATGAGTACCTATGAGCTCGGCAGGAGTCGAACCCAAGACCTTCAGGTTCAGTGGCTAACACGTTACCATTGACCCACTCGGTCAGAATTCAACGGTTCATATCTCCTACTTATAATTTATAAATTCGCAGCAAGTTTGCTGAAACCGGTAAACAATTAGTTGTGAGTGTTGTTCAGTTTCATTTGTTCGCATACGAATAAAAGACTCTTAAAATACGTTTCATCATGTATAGAAGGTAAAATTTTGTTTCTCTATAGTCAGACCATCAGACAATAAATAAATGACACAGAAACGAAGATGTTTTGTTAAAGATCACTAGTTGACGTCATTATTGATCAGTGTGAAAAAAAAATCTTTCACCTAGCTAGGCAGCATCGTTTCAACTGCAGGCAGCAGCAGGATAAGTGAGGTCGTCGAAGTCAGGATCAGGGATCTACTGCACTCAGCATAAAGCCTGAACAGCATCCGGATTCTCAACACCAATCTAGTGATGTCAGTGCTGTTATATGGTTCAGAAACTTGGCGCGTTATGTAAAGCATTTCCAACAAACTACAGTCATTCATCAACAACTGTCTACACTGCCTCAATACTGAAAATCAGATCAACAGGTCAGGAAGAATAGGTAGGCAACAAGGAACTGTGGGAATGAAGCGAGAACCTATTCCCCAGCAAATATGCAGAGGAAGGAGGTGGAGATGGATTGGGCGTACACTGAGAAGACCATTCTGGGGACATCACGTGTTAGGCCAGGCACTCGAGTGAAATTCAAAGGGGAAATGACGAGTTGGGCGTCTGAGGCTAGGGTGACATGGAGGAGATGATATGAGGAAGAAATGAAAGTTTATGGTCAGTTATGGAGCCAGGTTAAAAAGGCTGCAGAGAAGTGCAGAGTGGAATGGAGACGTGCTACTGAAGCCCTATGTCCCACTAGGAACACAAGAGAATGATAATAATAATTTTTAAGAAAGAATGAATAAAAGAATTAAGTTAAGTCAATAGAAAGTGAACATCAGTTATTGAATGTTTGTTGACTCAGTGGCTTAGTAGATAAGGATTAAATGTTTGAAGTAATATGTACCATATTTAAGTCTGAGTGAAAAAGAAAAAACAATTTCTCAGTGAGATATTAGTAAAATCAGTTGTTATCTTTCAGATAGAATAGAAAGTATATTCGGAATTTAAGTGTTAGTAACCATGAAAAATTATAAAGTTTTTTTCTTAAAAATTAGTATTTTACTACTAAAAAATAATGAAATTAATTGATGAAAAAATTAAACATACCTGAGTATAACCAACATCATAACCATGTTTTGTAGCATATAATTTAACTAGTGAAATTGTTGTAGCGAAAGCAACAAATGATACAATCACTGATTCCATTATTACTTCAGGTATTAATTGAACATCAGGTAAGATTGGAGTTGGTAAACTGATAAAGGAAATATATATATATATATATATATATATATATATATATATATATATATATATGAAAAAGGAGAAAGACAATAAACACTAGATATGGTTACCAATGTAAACACCTTAAATTTTAAGCTTATTTATAATATTCTCAATATGACAACTTAATGACCTTACACAACAATTTTTGTGCTCTAGTTCCAATATCTGAAAGTTATGCTTTCTGACATATCCTTTTACTGACCAGTAATCTTTAAGTTTGAAGAAATTCATACCTGAAAGTCAGAAATTCTACAACTATATTTATCCTATAGAGAGTAGTTTTAAAGAGGTAATATATATATCGCCTTCGAAATACTTGGATTGCTCGTTTAAACTTAGCTTATCATATTATGGATACAATTTACAACTTTTTATACAAAGATAAGAATAGAAATCTAATCTAGGATAAGCGTAGTTGTACATTCATTTATTTGTTCTACAAGTACCATAAGGTGTACATGATAGAATTCTTGAAAATTTTGTTCATAACCTTAGTAGTTGAGCAATAACGTCATGGTATGTAAAGCCGAATGTTGTAGACTTAAATATCTTACACAATCACACTTTGTGAAAGTTTTTCTCTTTTAAAGTAAAACAATAGTGTTAACTGAATACGTATTTTTTCCCCTACCTTTTCTATAGTAACATTAGTTATACTAAAGTACTTAAAATCCTTGAGTTCGAACTTGAATCAAACAGAAAAGTTGAGCACTGTGGAAGAGGTGGAAACCAAGACAAAATAACTGATCATATACACCTATCTTTTAAAAGTTGTTCTACTCATAACAAAACTTATTCGACTCATTATAGTATCTTTAAGATTTCATCTTGTACAAGTAAAATATTTTTAAAAAAATGGGAGGTGACTGTTCAAAGTAACCCGGTGATAGCTGGTTCGAATCCGGTCGCGGTTCAGATTTTCATCTCACCTTCAATCATCACTCAGTACAAATACTAGTCTGCTAAACTACGGCTATCTTAGACAGTCAAATCATATTCAATATGATGCTCCCCCTCTCTGATTCAGTTAGATTTGGATTGGTATGAGAAGTTCTGACTAGGCAGCAGCCAGTGACAATACGATCAAGCGGTAGCAACGCGTCACGAATTCACTTGGTAGTCGCGCAAAATCCTTGATGATTGAAGTAAAGCAAAATTCTGGTCAGCAGTCAGACTTCGTACCTCAGTTGGTAGATCATCTGGCCGGTAACCCGGTGATCGCTGGTTCAAATCTGGCCGCGGTCCAGATTTTCATCTCATCTTCAATTACCACCCAGTTAAAAACCTTTTGTTTGAGCCTTAAGTATTTATATTTCAAATACTTTGAGTAATCTGATATTCTATTGTATATTTCTCTTAAAGGAGATCTAGTGAAATAACTAAATGCATCTTTATAACAACATTAAACACTGCATAGTTATATGATGTGACCGACCAAAGACAGACATTATTGTAGCAGTGATTAACTTTCCAAAAACAAGGGATGATAATCCAATTGACATTCAGTACTAGATACCGACCCTGTTATTTTCAGTCAGATGTGCATAGTGATTCACTGACCACTATACTGTATTGTGATGCTTGTACACAATTACCAGATGACGTAGTTCATGCATGCGCACCAAAATGTCATGTAAGTCTGATCACATTTTTTTGAGTGACTTTGAAGGTCACTCTAGCAATCACTGAAATAACCAAATAGGTTTCTTAGTTTTTCCGAAAATCTGGGTTTCCGGCTGAGAAAAAGAAACTAAAATAGCTACTCCAATCGTTAATACGGTGGCCCTGTAAAGTCATTCTATTTGTGCCTAATACACATGAATATTAGTCGATAACAAAATGATGTATAAACGTCATGTCTATTTGTTACTGAAGTTACCACAGTAAGCTTGCAATGTTTTAACAGTTAAAATTAGTATGTATTAATCCCTAAATTGAGTAGCTAAGGTAACTATTTGGCTATAAGAGGTAAATAACCAGGTTAATCTTTTAATTTTCTACGTTTTAAACATTCTTATATTGAACCCACATGTTAACAACATCAAACAATACAAATTTCATGATAAAAAGCAGTTGCGAGGAAACATACCCAACTGGGATTTCACCAACAATGGTGACACCATATTTCTCATTTAATAAACAGAACTGTGATACAACAGTACCGATTACAAGCTACAGAAATGAAGTAAGAATAAAGTCATTACGAGAATGAATCACATATACATGTTCAGAAATGAGTTACAATGTAATTTGATCTACTACTCAGTAATACAATTCAGCATTCATGCGCACGTTTACGCATTACATTATGAGCTATATACATTTGTACGAGAGACCTTCATGTTATCTAAGTGAGCAATCGCGCTTTTAGTTGTACATGGTACACTTCATTCCAAGTCAAATTCTTATATCTGTAGTGTTGTGGCCCATTCGTTTAGGGAGGCAGTCAACTTTCAACCAGTGAATACCCCTCTACCTACAGGTTTGAGCAGCCAGGTAGTATAATTACCTCTCATACACTAGATATGGCTCATTATTTACTACACAGATGTGTACAAAGTTCCTGAGAGGATCCCGCTTTATCCCTCCCCCCCCCCGATTTCATGCAAAAATAATAGGAAGTAACCTCACCTATTTAACTAGTTCACTAGTTACTAGCCATCCTAAGCCCGAATAAAGAGGGAAGGTTCGGCATAGGGACAGCAACCCTACCCCGAAACAAATCCAATAGCTAAAGAAACTTCAAAGCACAGAAAAAACATAAAAAACAAAAATAAACTTGTTCCTCGCTGAAATAGGGGAGACGAAATGACGCCGGTTAGTGGAAGCATTCGGGAAGCTGATTGACCGATGTGTCTTCTCTTCTCTCGATGAAAGCAAAAGTAAACATGGGGACATGGAACGTCTGAACAATGTCAGAAGCTGGCTAGCAAGGCTGCCCAGATTGCAAGAGATGAGAAGGTATAGCATAGAAGTGCTAGGAATCTGTTAAAGTAGATGGAATAGAAGTGGACTCTCCAAACTGTCAACTGAAGAGTCAGTAATCTTCTCTGATATTCTCAAACAGATGACAAAGACGAGGACACTGAGTTTTGGAGTGGCTATCATGATGTCCCCAGGAGCATAGAAAGCTCTCAGGCAATGGGATCCAATCTCCTCCTGAAGGATCATGACAGCAAGATCCAACTCAAAAAGAAGGAAAGTCACAATAATACAATGCTACACTACACACCTACAAACAATGCAGACAAAGAGAACGAGGAATTCTACAGACAAGTGCAATTTATAATGAACAAGATCCCACCAATATATGGCGACATCAAAATTCTAATGGATGGGGTGACATGAATGCCAAAATGGCAGAAGACAACTCAGGAAGAGAACTAACCATGGGTCGAGAAGCACTTGGTGAAACGAACGAGAATGGAGAACTGTTTGCAGATTTATGTGCATTATACGATTTGGTGATTGGAGGCGGGGCAGTGTATACAAACACAAGGATATTCACAAAGCGACATGAATTTCACCAGATGGAAACAGCAGACTAAAATTCAGATCGACTTCATCTCAATCTCAAGAAAGTAGAGACGCAGCCAAATGAACACAAGATGAAGGAGGGAAGCAGATGTACGTTAACACAACTCACTATCTAGAGCAAGGAACCTAAATTCAAAACCAAGTTGAAAGCCTTCACAGAAGTTGGTGGTGGACCACAGTCCATATTCAACACCCAGAACATAAAATGAACTGAAGGACGAAACTTCAAAGGGCATCTTCAGGCCAGTAATCAAGACAAAATACGAGATATCAAGCAACATCCCTGAAGAAACCTGCACGGAAGAACACTGGAACTTTTTGAAAAAGATGTGGAAAGAAACCTGCATAACCGGATTAGGAAGGAAGAAGAAGCGGGAAGACAAGGAAGGAATGGATCTCGACGGAAACCTGGAAGCTGATAGAGGAGGGAGAGGAAGATTGTGATGGTGATGGTGAAGCAGAAGATGAACCGGTGCACTGCAGTGAAGTGAAGTGAAGTGCAAGGATGAACGAGGAGAAGAGGAAGTGAACACAACCTAAAAAACACTGAACAAAGAAGTAATGAAGACTGCGTGGAAAGACGAAAGGCACTACTACGACACACTTGCAAGTGAAGCAGAACACGCTTTAGGTAAGAGAGACCTGACAATATTATATCAAATAACCAGGTTACTATCTGGGAGGGAAGAGATCAACACAGGTTAGATAGTGAGGGAAAACTAGTTAGAAGAGAGGAGAAAGGAAGGAAAAGGAGACGATGGTCTGACCACTCCAAAAATATTGTCCCTTCCACCTATCCGCCCACCTAGGCAGGCAGCATAGAGTCAACTACAGGCGGCGGCGTCGGCGTCGGCGTCGGCGGCGACATACATGAGGACGTCAAAGCCAGCACCGAAAAGACAGCAACACAGACCTCCTTTCATTAATCTGAAATAAACAGGGTGCAGATCTACTGTACTTCACTGCACTGCACTGTACTCACCATACAGAATAAAATCCGAATTTTCAACACTAGTTCAGTCAAGTCAATGATTCTATGTGATGGCTGACAGACTTGGCGCGTTATGAAAAGCATTTCCAACAAACTACAGATATTCATCAACAGCTGCCTCCATACTGAAGATCAGATCAGCAGGCCAGAAAGAATGAGCAACAAGGAACTCTGGCTGCCGACCAACCAACCAAGCAAGAACCTATCGCCCAACATATATGCAGAATAAAGTGGAGATGGATTGCGTTGGATTGGATTGGGTATACACTGAGAGGACCATTCGGAGACATCACGCGTCAGGCCAAGCCTTCAAGTGGAACCCAGATGGGAAACCACGAGTTGGGCGTCCCAGATGAGGGTGACATGGAGGAGAAGATGTGATGAAGAAATGAAAGCTGATGGGCAGTGGTAGAGCAAGGTTAGAAAGACTGCAGAGAAGAGAGTGCAATGGAGATATGCTACTGAAGCCCTATGTTCCACCAGAAACCTAGCGGACAAATGAATAATGATAATAATAGGAAGTACATGGAAAAGACAGATAGACGAAATTTTCGAAACTTTTTCAAGAAGTGTTTACAATTCACTGAATTAAAAGATTCAATAACCCTAGCTAGACTGTATTGTATTCAGAGGATACAAAGTACATCAAGGATAAAGGTAATGTATATTTAAAAAAATCAGTGATCATTATAATTTTAACGTAAACTTATTCACGCAGATCGTGACTACCAAGTGAAAATATGACCGTTGTAAGTGGAAATGATCAATTATTTAAGTTAACCACTTTGGTGAGGGTGTTTAAAGCATGTAATTCTCTACCTTGGCTTTTTATTTTAGCCAAGTATCTGAAAAAAAAAAACTTAACTTTATTTAACTTCCTGCCGTATACTATTAATCTATTCTTCACTATATTAAGTAGTCAACGTATTACAACTGCTACTTCAACTATCCATGAAACTCCTTCAGAAAGTACTTTAACCCTATTTCATTTCAAATGACTTTATGCTGAGGGAATTCTTACTTCCTAATTTACAAGTATCTTGTTAGTGATCAATTTTCTGAAGGTGTCAAATCTCTGATAAGCTAAGGAGGTGTCATTTATATTATTCACGCTATCCATTTACACCATAGATTGGTTACATGGGTACTTGCTCTAAGTATTCGTATGAAAGATAACTGAAAATTCGAGTAATAAAATAATTCAGAGGTGAAATGATATGGCTGAGTAAATTATATAATGGTAACAGTGGACTGATATTTATATCCATGCAGTTTTATCAAGGGTTTATAGATTGAGTGTTTGTTAGTAGTATAATTCAGGAGCTAAATTTAGCCTTAATTACGATTCATCAACCGAACTTATATGTACTACAGTGAGTGTTAATATTCTGACTGAGTCTAAAACGAAGTATCACCTATCAATTCACACGTGACAATACTATTTACGAAACATTTTAGTTTTTATGCGTCGTGATTAATGTTACCAAGTTGTTGACTCAGTGGATCGAAGGGGTCGTTCACTCTTAATGTACCTGTAAATACAAATCTTAATATTACATTGGGCTAGATTCTGTCCGTCAAAGATGCCCACTGTCTCCATTGTTAATAAATTTTATCATCGATATTCTTATAGAGGTCTCCCTCTCGTCACCAGATTACACAGATGTTGACCTAATCATAAGAGAATTTTCGTTAGACCTAGAATATGCAGATGACATAGTCCTGTTAAGTGAAGACGCTGACAAGTTGCAGTCTTCTGAACGCCTTGAGTGAGAATTTGAGAATGTTGGGGATGAGGTTCTCACCACCCAAAGGCGAATCGCTGCTCCAGGATTGGTCTTCAGCGGTGCCCCACCGAGGCTTACAACAAAGAGTCAAGTGGTCGAATGTGTTGACCACTTCACTTACCTGGGAAGTAGGATCAACCCTGGTGGGTTAGTTGCCGATGAAATCTCTACACGGATACAAAAGACTCAATTGCCTTCTGCCAATTTACGACACCTATGGCACTGCCGAGATATCCGTTTGTCTACTAAGGGTCGCGTGTACCGCACCTGTACAGCAGTCTGCTCTGTTCGACTGTATAGCTATGAAACATGGCCATTGAAGGTGGAAGATATGAGAAGGCTGGCTGCAGGTGTTTGACCACTGTTGCCTTAGTAGTATAGGCTGTATTCCGTGGTGTCACCACGTGAATAATGCAGAAGTCAGGGATAGAGTTTTAGTGAGGGAATAGAGGTAAATCAGTTGACGAGGTTATGAATTTTCATCGACTGAGATGGTTAGGATACGTACTATGTATACCTAGTCGTCGATTGCCTCACCACACAATGTTGGCCGAAGTAGGTCCTGGCTGGAAAAAGGCCCGAGATGGTCAGACTAAAACATGGTACCAATACATGAAGTCTCTGACTGTTGGTTTAAGCGATGTGGGGCGATGCAGACTAGGTGGTTGGGGTCTGCTGGACAAGAGTAACCAGTGACGTAAGACTCTAGGTGATATGGCTCAGAACCGATGTCAGTGGCACAGATGTATCCCCCCACACATTATTCTCATCTTAACGACGCCATATCGAATCTCACCATTTTGTCATTTTGTCCTTTCTTTCTTCTCGTACTTTATATTTCTTTTGACTGTATTCTATTATCTTCATCCTTCCCCTCACTACCTTTCTACTTGATGTACTGATATGAGGTGTGGCAACTCGGATTGTTATGCAGTAATACCTGGTCCTATGTTGATATTGATGATGATAATGATGAAGTCAATATGCAATAGAATTAAGTTTCAGTATCCAGATGATAATAATCAATCTTATGCAGTTGGTTTATAGCTAATAACATCAAAAAGAATTGATAGAGATGTCTAACTTTTCTGCGAGTATTCAAGAACCATAATGAAGAAATCAGCTTTTATAAACTTCATCAACATATAAAAAACTAAACTTTTATTTGATAGACGATGTACTGAAAATGGAGGTTTTAATTCAAGTTCAAATATGAAAGAAGTGAGATGTAAAAAAAACAATAGATATAAGTATATTGCTCTTCCAATCAAATCACCACGTTCATACAACTAGTTTACATCACATAGGAATTTGTTTGGCTATAACACTAATCCATAAAGTATAAGACTCTTGTTCTGGATACTATAAGAAAGTACAAAGTTTTTTAACTAGAGCATTAAACATATCTGAAATAGGTGGTTGAAGACTGTAAATAATATAATCTAAACTAAAGCAGGGCAGTCAACTCTCTACCTCGAACTCATCCATTTTGAAAAAGCCTTCGACAGCGTTGACCGACAAGTAATTTGACAGCCAACTGCTTCAACACTGTGATTTTAGTGGCACAAACCTTTATCAACCTCACTCAACAACTATATGAAGATGCCACATGCCAAGTAATTCACAATGGGAAGCTCAGCTCGGTGATGCCTTTGAAGTGAAGACAGGAGTGAAACAAGGTTGCCTGCTATCACCCATGATATTCCTGTTTGTAGTGGACTGGATCATGCAACAAACTGTGAGGAGCTAGAAGAGGGAGATACACTGGCTGGACCGGGGAAAAGATCCTAGAAGATTTGGATTTCACCGATGACTTGTGTCTAATATCACACAAACTTGAAGATCTACAGGCAAAATCCAACAAGCTGACAGAAGAGGCGAGGCAGGGCAGCGAAGGAAGACAGGACTTCAAGTGAACATAGAGAAGGCAGAGGTGATGAAGATACCCAACGAACCAACCAACCAACAACAACAACAAGTTCCAATCACCATCAACAATAAGAAACTTAAAGGAAATAGCCTCTTTCACCTATCTAGGCAGCATCATTTCAACTACAGGCGGCACAGACGAGGACATCAAAACCAGGATCGGAAAAGCAAGACAGGCGTTCATTAACCTGGAACCAGTGTGGAGATCCACTGCACTGCACTCAACATGTGGAACAAGATCCGCATTTTCAACACTACTGTCAGTCAAGTCAGTGCTTCTATGCGATGGTTGAGAGACTTGGTGCGTTATGAAAGGCATTTCCAACAAACTACAGATATTCATCAGCAACTGCCTACACTCACTGGATACTGAAGATCAGATGGATGGTGAGAATAATAGGAATAAGCAATAAAGAATTCTGGCCTGGCAACGAACCAACGAAGCAATAACCTGTTGCTCAACAAATATACACTGGAAGGAAATGGAGATGGATTGGGCGTGCACTGAGAAAACCGACTGGGGACATCACGCACCAGGCCAGGCACTCGAGTGGAACCCAGATGGGAAACAACGAGTGGGGCGTCCCAGCTGAAGGTGACATGGAAGAGATGGTGTGAGCAATAAATGAAAGCTGATGGGCAGTCGTGAAGCCAGGTTCAAAAGATTTCAGAGAAGAAAGTGGAATGGAGACGTGCTACTGAAGCCCTATATTCCACTAGGAACTCAAAGGACAAATAATGTAAAATAATAATAAACTAAAGCAGAGTAATACTAATGTACTTACTACTTAGCTTAACATAGATTGTGCTATTTTCTTTTCTTCATATGCTTTATCTCATTCCTTCATTGTCTTACATTCTTCAACAACTATCAGTTTAACTTATTATCACTTCTTTATCTCTTCGCCTGTGGACTCAAATATCATAATGATCATTTGAAGTGTAGAAGTGTGGTTAAAGCAGATACTTTATGATTTATATATATCTTTTTATATAATCATAGTGAAAATCTACTATTAAATCTTTAAAATAGAGGAAGAGAGAAAGTGATTGATCATGAACAAGATAATGATACAATATTAAGCATAAATCTATAAAAGTCAACTTACTATAATCAATTCAATCGGTATTGCAAAGCGTATTTTAGCCATAACTTTAGGATTGATAAAATGTTTAAATACCCATATAATTACAATACACACAGCAGAAATGAATAATGTTATAAAATTAGTTTTGTTGATAATCTGTACGAAGTTGATAATTATCTACGGAAAGAGAGATTAAAGACACAGAGACAATAATAATAATAATAATAATAATAATAATAATAATAATAATAATAATTAGGTTGAGAAAACGCCTGAAAATATTATAAAAGTGAACTTAAAAAAGATATAAGACATTTGAGTTCTTTTTAAAATCTTTTATAGTGATATACACATAGCATTGGAAATCTTATGTTGAAAATCTTCAAGCTATAATCATTTTAATACGGTTAAAAATTAGCCTGACGATCTGCTAAATATGCCAATAACAAAGAAAAACAGTTCAATTGTGCCCCAATATGTCGACAAGATAGACAAGATGAAATCAATGTGGAACTTTGCATACAAGTATATCAGCTCAAGTTGTCACAATACATAGAAGAATACAAAGGACAGGTGGATAGAAAAAGAGTAATACCAAAGTAGTTGTATAAGACAATAAACAATCTGAAGATGACGGTTAATGCGAATATTCAAAGACTGACTGATTTTCAACCATTCTACAAAGATTCCTAAACCACTGACTTTTTTCACCACGGGGACCCTGAGCAGGTGGTCTAAATCTCTTTACACCACTCAGGTCAACAGTCAGAGACTTTATGAATTGGTGCCATGTCTTGGCCTAGCCATTCTGAACGCTCTTCCAACCTAATCCAACTTCTCTTAGCATGGTAAACGGAGGTAGTCAGCGGCTCAGCATGTATATTACATGTCCAAACCATTTCATTTGACTATGGTTCACAACCTCATCTGTCGACATATTGACAATAAAACTAGCTTTAAAATGAAGACATGATTATCACCTGACATAAAATGATCATTCTAAACAATGATTAAAAATACAACTTGCTAAGTGACACTCTAGTGTCAGTTATTTCGTGTAAGCTGCTTGGTATCAATCGCTACCATGGTTTAATGTCAACTAGAGTACCATGATAAAATCACACCGGTTTTTCAACAAACTATCAGTACTGATGAATAGTGGCTAACATTGGAATCCAAGATGCATATTTCGTCCTATTTGGGACTCATCAGGTATAATTAGAACACAGGTAATATCGAGGTATCCGCACAGATGCCCATATGTTAATAGAGACCGATCAATTCGGTCCAATCAACGAAGGTGAAATACAAGCAATTATACTAAAATTATCAGTACTCCTTATCCAGACTTATATTCGAACTAATTTTCATGTCACCATTTCGATACTGTTATCAGTCCAAGTGTTTTATTGAAGTAACTGGGTCACAAATATCGGAATCTTAAACACGAAATACTGCCTTATAAAAAGTTTAATGTATTGTTTTAGGCGTATCCATTCATATTGTACAGAAGCAGATTTTACAGATCCTAAAAGTGGTATTCTAACTTAAGTGTGGTCAAATTATCAAGGTGAAAATATAAAAGTAGAGGAACTGGCAAGTAAGGAACAGCCTCGTACTGTCTATAGAATGTGATATATTTTCGTTGTTTAGTCTGTGACGTAACATTTATTCTTCATATGATCATTAAAATGAATAACATTAAGTTATAATTTCGACTATCTAAGATAGTCGACTGACTAGTATTGCTACTGGGTGATGAGTCCCACCTCGGTCGAAATTCTCACTTTACCTTCAACCAACCTCGATTATCTCAGATAGTCAGAATTATAATCAATATGATCCTCCCCCTCTCTAAATCAGTCAGATTCCGATTCAGATAAGAAATCCTGACTGGGCAGCCAGTATTAGTGTGAGTACGATCAAGCGGTAGTAATGTGTCATGAATTCACATGGTAGTCGGGCAGAACCCTTTGCGATTGAAGTGAAATAAAATTTGATCAACAGTCGGGTAGAGTATCGCGTCGGTAACCTGGGGGTCACTGGTTCGGATTAAATTAATTATAAATATTAAGAAATTCTTTCAAGTTGTTATTCATCGAAGACTGACATCAGTTGGAGGAACAAAGGAAACCTGGGAGCACTAGGACGAAACAGCTGTCCAGTGCTCCCAGGTTTCCTTTGTTCCTCCAACTGATGTCAGTCTTCGATGAATAACAACTTGAAATATTTCCAAATCTCCACAACCCCCTCAAAATTCAATTGAACTAGTGCTCGTTGGTGACTAGCTTCGAGAAGTATTCCCGAAGTTCCAATGACAAGTCGTGACCGGTGGAGTCAAGCCTGATGGCTGTGAGGACAAATACTCAACGATGACATTGGGTGGCGGTTTGCGCTATATCGTGAGCTAAGAGAAGTTGGAAATATGGAGCATTGGATTCTCACCCAGTGGCTAGCTCAATGGTAACGCGCTGGTCGCGGAACCTGAAGGTCGCGGGTTCGATCCCTGCTGGTGTGGTCGTGGGTGCGCACTGCTGAGGAGTCCCATACTGGTCGGACGAAACAGCTGTCCAGTGCTCCCAGGTTTCCTTTGTTCCTCCAACTGATGTCAGTCTTCGATGAATAACAACTTGAAATATTTCCAAATCTCCACAACCCCCTCAAAATTTAATTAAGAAATTCGCTAAATGGAGTTAGGTTACATCTATGTAAAAGGTTTCTATTCACATAAAGAAAGACTAACTCCTGAAGCCCAATATATTTTCACAACACCAAATGCTACAAACAGAAAAGAAGATATAGACTTATAGATCTATAGACCTATTTAGTAAACATTAATGATGACCTTTTCTAATTGAAGCTTCAATAACAATGACAATTATTGACGGTTCATAAATAAAAATACAGGAAACAACACGTATTCTACAACATACATAAACATATGCACACAGATTTCGACTAACTTACATTTCCATTATTAAATGACAATAAAAAGCATGAATTTGTAATGACTAACCTTAATTACTCAGGTTGAACAGAAAATCACCTAACCTACATTCATAAAATATTCGAAGTATCATTTGATCATATTATTTTAGATGTTAATAAAAATCTATATATTCTGCTGAGGAAGCTGTGGCTTACACAGAGAAACGTTCAGAAATATCTTGTCTTAATTTTTTAAACATACTCTGGGATTATGTATGGTAATGCTGGGCAGTGGCTAGTAGTGGAATCCACGATACGCATTTCGTCCTATTTGGGACTTGTTAGCTGGATATACCTGCCCTCCCAGTGAGTGGTGTTGTTCCAGCTGAAGAGTCCCAAATAGGGTGAAATGAGCATCCTGGATTCCACTGCTAGCCACTGCCCATCATTACTATACATAATTAAAACACAGGAAATATCGAGGCATCCCCACAGGGGCCCATATGCCAACAGAGACATATATATATATATATATATATATATATATATATATATATATATAATGTTAACCAGTAATTTAAAGATCTTAGAAACTGTACCCAACACAATGCACTACTAAAACGGTTCACAATTCTTAGAGAAAAAAACGAAAACAGTTTGCAGACTTGCTTCATATACTTTCAGGCTAAATAGTTATTTGATGCAACCCACAGCGATACAGTATTATAGAATGGATGGTATTTCAAGTATAGACAACTGGTTATAATCTCAAATTAAGCCGAGCATATAACTCAACTTTCTGGCTTGGTATTGAACAATTCTTGTGGCTTTTTGAGGCAGTTGTGGAGATTTGGAAATATTTCAAGTTGCTGTTCATCGAAGACTGACATCAGTTGGAGGAACAAAGGAAACCTGGGAGCACTGGACAGTTGTTTCGTCCTAGTATGGGACTCCTCAGCAGTGCGCATCCACGACCCCACCAGCAGGGATCGAACCCGCGACCTTCAGGTTCCGCGGCCAGCGCGTTACCATTGAGCCACTGGGTGAGAATCCAGTGGTCCATATTCCCGACTTCTGTTAGTTCATGATATAGCGCAACCGCCACCCAATGTCATCGTTGAGTAACTATCCTCATGACCATCAGGCTTTGACTCCACCGGTCGTGGTTGCACACTGCTGAGGAACCCCATAGTAGTACGAAATAGCTGTCCAGTGCTCCCAGGTATTCTTTGTTCCTCCAACTGATGTCAGTCTACGATGAATAACAACTTGAAATTCTTGTGAAGTGAACATTAACACAATTTCACCTATATCCATGATTGGTAGTGAACAATTCCTGTTGCAAATGACGAGTATTGATTTGATGAATAGACATTAGGTAACCAATTATTTATTAAGTTACCTACATTAGGTCTTACAACTGTTTCTATATCCTACCGTATGATTTGATTGTGTATCAATGGTAAATATACCAATAGTTGTAATATTTTCTACATTATATAGCCCCTCCCAATTTAGATTAGTTAGGCTGTTGGAGCTTAGAGACTTTGTAAAATTAAGATTGACAGATAACATCAAATAACGAAAACAACTTCAGTCAGTTATTAAAATGGTAGAAAAATTGGATTTAAACGAATATGAGGTGTGATACATAAATGTAGATTAACAATGTTAATAAGATGAAACTAAAGTATACTATGCCGATCGCGGATTGAGACAAGGCAGAGAAAACGACTTACATAATCAAAAGATCCTATTCTGGATTATCTCTTGAAAGTCGATACATGAATCAGCTATGTCAAATAAAAATATTGCTTAATGCCGTATGAACTGGCAACTTATTCAGTTAGGTAGGCAGTTAGATACAACCATTCAGTCAGTAGTTCAAATTCTTGTCAACCTAACCATATTAAGCGCCTAGTTAGTACCACAATCCGTAACAGAAGGTGAATATCTTTTTTTATTCTAGATATTACAAACTACTGTTATATCGAAGAGAAAAGGATGTTCATTAGGTCGTGTGAGTTTATTGACTAGTGTTCGAAGATGATGATTAAACAATGATTATATATATATATATATATATATATATATATATATATATATATATATATATATATATATATATATATATATATATATATATATATATATATATAGTGAGTGAGTGAGTGAGTACAAAGATGACTTGATATCAATCTTTTCTTCAAGACTTCATTCCTAGATTATTTTAGGGGATTGACTGTACACTACTGCTTTAAAAAAATTAGGTCTACTGTGCTAAACACTTACGAAAATGAACAATTTTAATTGACACTATGAAACGCTGTTATCATGTTTACAAACGAATTATAATGTCATGCTGAAACTAAAGGGGAAGAGATCCAGTAATCCAAATTACTATATTACTATATTACCAACTTTGTAGAATATCACAGTGTCTTACAATTATGCTCATGTGTATTCTAAAAGAACTTATATTTTTATGATGTTACAGGTACGCCTTATAGATCAGCTTTTCAACCATCCAACTAATGCCTACCTATAATTGATATTTGGAATACAAGTGCAATTGACATCTACTAGATCAAATCAGTATCATATTCAGTTTTTTCATATGGTTCAACCTTACACTGTGAACTATTACAAAATATTAGATGATATTTAAAGTTCCACTAAAATCTAGCTCGTGACTATAAATAGGAAAAAAATATCAAATTAATAATAATTACATAGTTTGTTAATAATCATTACTCAAATCAACAATGAGATGTTAATAGAAGGCATTCCACAACTAATAACAACTAGATATATCAAAACTTACTGGCGAGGAATCATGCTCCACTTCTGCCCCCCCTTCCACAGTAAAATATTGAGCTGTATCATAATGGAGAAACTAAACAATGCTCTGGAGTCAAAATTACCACCGTACCAGGCTGGACTCAGGAAGAACAAATCATCTGCGGATTAAATTGCAACGCTACGCTACTCATCATCATAGAACAGAGTATAGAATGGCAGTCAACTAGATCTTCACCTCAACTTCATCCAGTCTGCAAAGGCCTTCGACACCGTCCACCGACAAGTAATTTCACAGCCAACTACTTCAACACTGCGATTTCAGTGCCACAAACCTTCATCAATCTCATTCAAGAGCTATATGAAGACACCACACGCCCAGTGATTCACAATGCAAAGCTCAGCTAGATGACGCCTTTGAAGTGAGGACAGGAAGGAGTATGACAAGGCTGCCGTCTACTACCACCCATCATATTCCTCATTGTGGTCAACTAGATCCGACTGGATCATGCAACAGACAACCGTGAGGAAGGAGAAGATGGCCATACGCTCGCTGGACCGATGAAAAGACCCCACAAGAAGATTGGGATTTCACCGTCGATGATCATTCATGGCTAATGTCTTGTCGCACAAACTCAAGTTGACACAAGACGCAGCAAACAAGGGAGCTCATGTGAGTGTAGAGGAGACAGAGGTGATGATGATACCCAACCAACAACAGCATGAATAACAAGCAACAATCACCATGAACGGGAGAAACCTAAAGGAAGTTGTCTCTCCCACCTACCTATCTACCTACCTACCTACCCGCCTACCTAGGCAGGCAGCATAGAGTCAACTACAGGCGGCGGCAGTGGCAGCGACATACATGAGGACGTCAAAGCCAGCACCGAAAAGACAGCAACACAGACCTACTTTCATTAATTTGAAATAAACAGTGTGCAGATCTACTGTACTGTACTGTACTGTACTGCACTGCACTGTACTGTACTCACCATACAGAATAAGATCCGAATTTTCAACACTAGTTCAGTCAAGTCAATGATTCTATGTGATGGCTGATAGACTTGGCGTGTTATGAAAAGCATTCCCAACAAACTACAGATATTCATCAACAGCTGCCTCCATACTGAAGATCAGATCAGCAGGCAAGAAAGAATGAGCAACAAGGAACTCTGGCTGCCGACGAACCAACCAAGCAAGAACCTATTGCCCAACATATATGCAGAATAAAGTGGAGATGGATTGCATTGGATTGGGTTGAATTGGGTATACACTGAGAGGACCATTCGGAGACATCACGCGTCAGGCCAAGCCCCCGAGTGGAGCCCAGATGGGAAACAACAAGTTGAGAGTGCCAGCTGAGGGTGACATGGAGAAATGAAAGCTGATGGGCAGTGGTGGAGCAAGGTTAGAAAGACTGCAGAGAAGAGAGTGTAATGGAGATATGCTACTGAAGCCCTATGTTCCACTAGGAGGAACCCAACAGATAAATGATAATAATAAACAATATCAACACTTACATAGAAAATACGACCTGGTCCTGTTGCACGATTTAAACGTATGCCGAATAGTCCATTTAATTGGCTAGCAAATACATGCACAGCGGATGCACATGTAAAACCACTTAACAATGGTTCTGACATATATACAACCAATACGCCCAAACGAAGTGTGCCTAAAATAAGCTTAAGATAGTGGGAGAAATGTGAAAATATGAAAGGATAGGAAAATATAATGTTAACTCAAATGAATAAAGTGTAAATCGCTCGGCCTTTTACGATTCAATTTTGAGGTTTGTGGGGATTTATTGGTTTCAAGTTGATATTCATCATGGAATGACATCAGTCTGAGAAACATTGGAAACTTGGAGAGGTATTGAACAGCTGTTTCATCCTAGCACGGGACTCCCAACAGTATGTACTCATGATCCCTCCTACCTAGGATCAAACCCAGGACCTTCAGGTTCCGCAGCCAGTACATTACCATTGAGTCATTGGTTTGGAATCGAATGGTTCATATTTCTTACTTCTGTCAGTTGACGATATGATTATGATCATTTGTCACTGATCGTCTTTAAAAAACATACTTCCAATTTAATGGTAAGATTCATAAACAAATGAAATGAACTCCAGCGGAATCACTGATATCTGTACTAATTGCAGAAGCAGCAATACAGTCTAACTGACAGACAGAATCAACGTAGGACTTTGCAAAGCAGTGCATCGGCTCAAGTTGCTACACTCCACAGTAGTATACAAAGAACAGATGGACAGAAAAAGAGTGATATCAAAGTGGAAAAAGTTGTATAAGCGAATAAACGATTTGAAGATAAAGGTTAGCGCAAATTTTCAAGCTTCAGAAAATGTTAAGGAGTGAATACGTCTGCGCTATTGTGGTTCATTTTCAGCCATGTCACCAAGAGTCCTCAACCACTGATTCCTTTCGCCTCGACGATCATAAACCAGACAGCCTAAATCTCCCTACATGGCTCAAGCCAACAGTCGGGGACTTCATGGACTAGTACGTCTCGGTCTGGCCACCCTGAACCCTTTTCCATCCTAATCCAACTTCCCTTAGCATTGCACTTGGAGGTAGGTAGTGGCTTGGTATGCACAGTATATGTCCAAGCCATCTCAGTCAACTAACGTTCATAACGTCATCGATCGAGTGGCCTATCTTTTATAGTACCTTTCGCATGACCTCAACACTGCTAACATGGTGATTCCAATAAAAGCGAGCAATGCTACGAAGACACCTATGGTCGAAAAACTGTAACTGTTTCATGTCTTCTTCTTTTAATGGCCATGTCTCACAGCCGTACAGTAGGACAGAACAGACTGCAGCGTAGTATACTCGTCCTTTGGTAGATAGCCGGATACCTCACCGATGCCACAGGTGACGCAAGTTGGCAAATGCCTGACTATTCTCCTGTATCCAAGCTCAGCTGGGCTGATGCAGCTCTCCAAATAAGTGAAGTAGTCGACACATCCCACCATTTCACTCCCTTTCATAGTAATGCAGAAACTGGAAACTACTCAATTACGAATGATCAAACGGAAAATTTTGATCCTATGTATGGACGATAATCTTGTTATCAATAAAAAGGATGAATTAGCCAAGATCATCCACCTGAGCTATAAATAGTCTCCATCACTTCATAATGTGTAAATCCAACATATCATTAGATATTACTAAAGTAGGTGAAACGTGGGGATCTCGCCGCATGTCTAACTTACACAGACTTGACAGTAGGAGTAATTTTAAAGATCATCCCGAAACAACTGCTGAAATAACCAAGTAAGAGTCTTCATTTTGTGAAAATCTACCTTTCTAGCCGAAATAAATAAAAGTAATTATCTACTTCAGTCGTTGCTAAGGTAGTCTTGGAAGTCACTCTAGCAGTAGCCTTGTGATTTAAAATACACTACCAAATGCACAGAATGAGTCATTAGGAAACTGTCAATCCCAGGTGTACTGAAATCAGCTTATTTGATACCTTTCAATGATAAATTAACAACACATTTCTCATAATTAGTGACGAAGCAACTATCTCTTCTAGTTGTCAAGCTTATTCAAAGACAGATGTCATCATAACATAATGTCGTTCAAAAGGAATACTGGTGATTGATAATACAACAGTTATATTTTGGTTTTAAATGTGTCGACATGATGTTGATTTCAGTGACATAAACGCCACTCAAGAAACAAGTGACATAACCAATTACTTTCCTTTATTTCAGCTAAAAAAGCAAGTTTTCATAAAATGAAGACGTCTGATTGGTTATTTTAGTAGTCATTAGGGTGACACATAAAGCCCATCGTTGGTTTGTCTATCAATCTCTTGTAACCAACCCATTTTAACATTAACCCCAACCTGACGGGATCCGTGAGTATTTTCATCAATTAAAGATGGGATTTATGCGTTTCCGTATTATACCGGAAACATTAGTGACTCAAAGGATAAGTCTAACTAACAACCGTAGGTCCTAAATTTTGCATACACCTTCAAACATTACGTGTAAACTCTGAGCTCATAGGAAAAATGATTTTTCTAACCAAATCAATTTACATCAACGGACGATTAAATCACCTGATTCTATCCGTTGCCTACTGGTTTCATGAATATGCTTTATATCAGTAAAGGTTCTTGAAATTTCAATAGGATATCTTCTACAGACATCTAATCTTTTGTAATACATGTTCAAAACTTAAGCACTGTAGTAGAAGGTAATTCGTATTTCATTTGTTTGCCAGATATATAGGGCACAGTGATAGAGTATTATTTACTAGATAAGGCATCGAGCATAAATTATCATTACTCACAATCATATCAATGGAATCATACAACTCTTAACATCTGATTCTTATAGCTATGTCACCTCATATGATTTACTTTCATTTATTAGTAGCACGATTTTCTATATCTCTATCTCTGGTATAGGTGTTGCATTCTTCCTATTACATGTGTTCACTGGTTGTTGATTCGAGGAACAAAGATTCAGTGACCAATCTCTCCCTCTCTCCACATAATTATCATTGCACTCAATCACAGTGACTTTGTACCACACCGTCTATTGTATGCTTGTGTGTTAATCCATGCATTGTAATAACCAAGTCTTCTCTTCTAAATTATTCATCTTATTCGCATCTCTCATCATATACTCAGCCAAATTCCTATATTCCGCTAATCTGACACACCCCAATCGCCTAGTTCGACCAATGTACTTCACCTCACAGTCATTACATGCAATTTAATAGATTACATTATTTCGCTTACTTGCCTTTATCGGGATCGTCAAGCCAGCCGACAAAATGTGAGTTTGTAGGTTTAAATGTCACCCTGATGCCAGCTTTGTTGACGATCTTATGTGAAGTTTCTGATGTTCCTTCCTTATAAATGGTAACACAATAGAGGCTTTCAACTCCTTTCTATTCGTGTTATCGTTAGTATTCGTACTAGTGTTACTGTTATTTTTTCGTTTTTTATGTATTTGTATGAGTTTCTTGATAAACTGTAGAGGATAATTATTAATTGTTAGCGCTTCTTTTATTTGCTCCAGTTCTTTGTTTAAGTCCTTGCACCGACTGGTGAGTTTTCTGGCTCTATCATTTCAACAGCTAACGGTCTACCGTTACAGGAAACAGACACATTGTAACAGGTATCTAGATTTCAAGTCATCTCCTCCAATGTCAGTTAACGCAGGTTTATTCAAATTTCTAAGTAGCAGACCTAGAAAACGCACTAGCAACGAAGCTGGAATTAGGATGGCATTTAAGCCTACCTACAAACTTACTCACAGATAAGCTTTGTCGGCTGGCTTGACGATCCGGCAGAACCAACTAAGCGAAATAATGTGATCTATCATATTCCATGTAATGACTGTGAGTTCAAGTACATTGGTCAAACTAGCCGGTTGGGGTCTATTACGATAGCCTAACATAGAAAGTCAGCTAAGCATAGAATGACTGACCTGAATAAGATCAAAAATCTGGAAAAGACTCGGCTATTCCAACACAACCATACAATAGACGGGGTGGTACAAAGCCACTGTACTTAAATTCAATACAACTAGATGGAGATGGATGGGGATTGATTACTGAATCTTTGTTCATCGAATCAACACCCAGTCAACACATGTAATAGAAATGATGCAACACCTATACCAGAGATATGGAGAATTCTGCTACCCATAGAAACAAAGAATAAGAGGTGACAGAACCATGAAAAGCAAATGTCGAAAGTAGTGTGATTACATTGATATGATTATGATCAATGATAATTTATGCTTGAAACATCATTAAGTAAATAATACTGTATCACTATGTTACAAATCAAATAAAAAAGTCTAATATGGAACCTAATATTTTGACAATAATCAACTTTCAAAATTTGGATCGTTCAAAACAAAGTAATTTCATAATACAAACAGTATCTAGTAAAGATGGATAGTGGCTAGCAGTGGAATCCACGATGCATATTTCGTCTCATTTGTGACTCGTTGGCTGGATGTACCTCCCTTCCAGTGAGTGATGTTGTTCTCACCGGAATTCGGTCTGGGAAGCGATCGCTTCAAATGCTAGAGCGTTATCCACTACACTATCGAGCCACGATAGCTAGTTCTTGTACCACTATCCATCATTACTATATAGTTAGGAAAACACAGGGAATATCGAAGCATCCACACAGGAGCCCATTGCCAACACAGACTGATCAATTCGGTCCAATCAACGAAGGTGTAATACATGTAATAACACTAAAAATAGTATTTATTTCCAAAATGCATCAATCATGTGATCAAGTGGTATTTATCAAAAAATTTGGAAAAACAGAAGTTGGAATTCCGAAAACAACCGTAGTTTTTAAGAAAAAAACTGTATTGATTCATCTTGATTGTGATAATATTGCCGAAATGTTTTACAGAAGATTAAAGATAATCAGTGGTTAGAAATTTTCCTGTAGCTAAGTTTATTTCTGTTTACTGAACATGAATATGAGCAATGAATTATGCTTGAAACATCACCCAGTAAATAATACTATCACAATATTTCATATATCAAAATAAAAACAATTTAAATATGTTCATTCATCTAGTAAATGTTAACAAGTGCCCTTTTTATGCAACTTGCAAATAAGTATAACCTGTAGAAGCAGATACATTTGGAAGAATAGAAAAAGGAAACTATATGCATATCTTTCACTGCCAGACAGTTACACCATCTCTTGTTAAACAGAATTTAGTAACACTTCACTAACCTTCCATGGATTCACCAATAAGCTTTACGATTACCTTATGACTATTGAGCCATACAGAGTAGTGCAGACTAACCGGTTAGAGTCCATAGGACAAGAGAAACTAGTGGTTGGAGACTCTAGGTGATATGGAGCAGAATTGATGTCAGTGGCACAGATGTATAGACAAATTATCCTCACCTTAACCATCATACTTAATCTCATCATCTTCTTATTCTTCCTTCGTCTATTTTACTACTTTCTATTTCTACTTGCTTTGACTGATTTTTCTTTCCTTTTTCATCTTTTATTTTATTGCCTTGTTTGCTTAGTGTGCTGATATAAGGTGTGGTAACTTCGACCGTTGTGCAGTAATGCCTGGGTCTTATGTTAACCTTGATGTACTTCTCAAGAGATTTAAATAACCACTAATTTCAGGACAGATTCTTAAAATGCTACTATAGTTCACCTGAATTTCCTGTGTTGTCCAGTTTTTGAACGGTTTGTTATATACATTCACCTTAGGAAAACTGTAGTTACATGTTTCTTCAACTGGTTCTTCCTGTCTGCTTGAATTCAATGAACAGATATTTTGGATACCACATGAAAAAAATATTTCGCTCATTTCATATACCTTTTACTGACACTGGTAGATGATGTTTTAAACTAATGGTCAGAAATGAATTTCATCACCACCTTTCCTAGTCATCATCAATATCAACATAGGACCAGGTATTATTGCATAACAGTCCGAGTTGCCACACATCATATCAGTACATCAAGTAGAAAGGTAGTGAGGGGAAGGATGAAGATAAGAGAATACAGTCAAAAGAAATATAAAGTACGAGAAGAAAGAAAGGACAAAATGACAAAATGGTGAGATTCGATATAACGTTGTTAAGATGAGAATAATGTGTGGGGGGATACTTCTGTGCCACTGACATCGGTTCTGAGCCATATCATATAGAGTCTTACATCACTGGTTACTGTTGTCCCGCAGACCCCAACCACCTAGTCTGCATCGCCCCACATCGCTTAAACCAACAGTCAGAGACTTCATGCATTGGTATCATGTTTTAGTCTGACCATCTCGGGCCTTTTTCCAGCCAAGACCTACTTCGGTGACTGAGCATGTGTAATACGTGTCCCAACCAGCCATCTCAGTCGATGAAGATTCATAACCTCGTCAACTGACTTACCTCTATTCCCTCACTAAAACTCTATCCCTGACTTCTGCATTATTCACGTGGTGACACCACGGAATACAGCCTATATTACTAAGGCAACGGTGGTCAAACACCTGCAGCCAGCCTTCTCATATCTTCCACCTTCAATGGCCTTGTTTCACAGCCATACAGTAGAACAGAGCAGACTGCTGTACAGGTGCGGTACACGCGACCCTTAGTAGACAAACGGATATCTCGGTGGTGCCATAGGTGTCGTAAATTGGCAGAAGGCAATTGAGTCTTTTGTATCCGTGTAGAGATTTCATCGGCAACTAAACCACCAGGGTTGATCCTACTTCCCAGGTAAGTGAAGTGGTCAACACACTCAACCACTTGACTCTTTATTGTAAGCCTCGGTGGGGCACCGCTGAAGACCAATCCTGGAGCAGCGATTCGCATTTGGGTGGTGAGAACCTCATCCCAAGCATTCTCAAATTGCTACTCAGTGTTCAGAAGACTGCAACTTGTCAGTGTCTTCACTTAACACGACTATGTCATCTGCATATTCTAGGTCTAACCTTTTCTCGTAGTGACAACATAGCAATTTACTTTCTAAACACTGATTGATATGGATTGTTGTATACATGCACGTTGGTACTGGCAATTAGAGCTTCACTAAGAAATGAAGTCGACTACAATTAGTATGTCTATCCACTTTATAAGTGTTCTCTGGTAATTGGTATTTTAATCTTTAAAATATTAGGAAACAATGTATTTCGTATAGACTTATAGAACAAATTATAGTTTACAATACTTTATATAATACACTGGACCTTAGTTGAGTGCTCTAAATTCCAGGCAACAGTAAGATATCGACCCCACCATAGACACTTATTTAAACTAGTTAAATTTCTATTGAGAATATGCTTTCAGGATGAATGTGATTTGAAGCGAATAGGATTAGGAATTGAATAATATGCTTTTTTTAACATAAGTCTTCATACAATGACCTTTAAAAATGAGATAAAAATTATGTCCCTAGAGAATGATAAATATGTTTACTAAAACTAGCAGTAAGATTTTAATTGGATAATAAGCTATTTCTATGTTATGCTTACATGACTATCCTTAGGTTTGACAAATTTTAATTCAATCCACTGAATGCTCACATACAATATCATGAAACATACTTCTTACTGAGTGAATGCCTATTACTGTAGTGAGTGCTACTGATAAGAATGGATATAAGTAGTATATATAAATTGAGAGGTCGATATTCTTGACTGAGCATTCTGTCTCGTTTTTTCTTTCTTTCGTTTAATATTAAAATACAAATATATAAAACATATTTTATTTGAAAAATTAAAAAGCTTCAACTTACCTGTAACAAACCAGCTAAAATACAAACAGTTACGACTACCCTAAGACGGAAATCATCTAGTTGACTTTCATTGAAAACTTGATATTTTTCTAAAGAACGATTATCCACATCCAATCTTGATATAAGTTTATCAACAGGATCAGCTGTTAACAGTGAAACTACTGAAAAGGTACCTGGAAAGTAATAACATTATGTTACACTGTGCATAATTATGTTTATGTACACATTAAAATTCACATGAGAATAATTCTTAACAGAGAATGAAAAAGCTTTTTCCCCTGTGTTATATATACCTTAGAACAAAAATTCCTAACATTATTGCTGGTATCTTTCCAGTTATTTTTCACCATTGCTTAAGTGAAGTTCAGCCGGAACGACTAGGAAAAAAATGATTGATGTAGGTATAATAAAAATTAGACAACTATACAGAATTCCCCCATTATGGATAGATGAGCTCACCAGTTATACACATTTAATGTCTACTCTCAGGACACCATATTATTTACTTGATGAGGCATCGAGCATAAATTATCATTGCTCACAATCATATCAATGGAATCATACAACTCTTAACATCTGATTCTTATAGCTATGTCACCTCATATGATTTACTTTCATTCATTAGTAGCACGATTTTCTACATATCCGGTATAGGTGTTCCATCATTCCTATTACATGTGTTCACTGGTTGTTGATTCGAGGAACAAAGATTCAGTGACCAATCTCTACCTCTCTCCACATAATTATCATTGCACTCAATCACACTGGCTTTGTACCACACCGTCTATTGTATGCTTGTGTGTTAATCCATGCATTGCAATAGCCAAGTCTTCTCTTCTAAATTATTCATCTTATTCGCATCTCTCATCATATACTCAGCCAAATTCCTATATTCCGCTAATCTAACACACCACAATCGCCTAGTTCGACCAATGTACTTCACCTCACAGTCATTACATGCAATTTAATAGATTACATTATTTCGCTTACTTGCCTTTATCGGATCGTCAAGCCAGCCGACAAAGTGTGAGTTTGTAGATTTAAATGTCACCCTGATACCAGCTTTGTTGACGATCTTATGTGAAGTTTCTGATGTTCCTTCCTTATAAATGGTAACACAATAGAGGCGCTTTCAACTCTTTTCTATTCGTGTTGTCGTTAGTATTCGTACTAGTGTTACTGTTATTTCTTCGTTTTTTATGTGTTTGTATGAGTTTCTTGATAAACTGTAGAGGATAATTATTAATTGTTAGCGCTTTTTTTATGTGAGTTTTCCAGCTTCATCACTTAAACATTTGACCAAGCCTGCCTTAACAACAGACATTGAATGGGATGACTTGAAGTCTAGATACCTGTTGGAATGTATCAGTTTTCTTTACACGGTAGTATCCATACCAACGTCTGTCCTTCGTTTTATCTTGGAATCCAACATAAGTAATTCTCCTTGTTCATTTTCTACCTCATACGTGAATTGGATTGCACCTACTACTGCGTTTATATGTGTGAAGAAATTGTCAATATGTTCCAAATTCAACATATGAAATGTGTCATACACATATAGCCACCATATTTTTGGTGCAGGACTAAATGTTTGTAAAGCTATGTTTCTCCAAATATCCATAAACATATCTACTACAATTGAGGATATTGACTATCCTATTGCTACTCCTTCTGTTTGTCTGTATATTTTGTCCTGTCAGTGCAAGGACTTAAACAAAGAACTGGAGCAAATAAAAGAGGCGCTAACAACTAATAATTATCCTCTACAATTTATCGAGAAACTCACACAAACACATAAAAAACGAAGAAATAACAGTAACACTAGTACGAATACTAACGACAACATGAATAGAAAGGAGTTGAAAGCGCCTCTATTGTGTTACCATTTATATGGAAGGAACATCAGAAACTTCACATAAGATCGTCAACAAAACTGGCATCAGGGTGACATTTAAACCTACAAACTCACACTTTGTCGGCTGGCTTGACGATCCCGATAAAGGCAAGTAAGCGAAATAATGTAATCTATTAAACTGCATGTAATGACTGTGAGGTGAAGTACATTGGTCGAACTAGGCGATTGTGGTGTGTTAGACTAGCGGAATATAGGAATTTGGCTGAGTATATGATGAGAGATGCGAATAAGATGAATAATTTAGAAGAGAAGACTTGGCTATTACAATGCATGGATTAACACACAAGCATACAATAGACGGTGTGGTACAAAGTCACTGTGATTGAGTGCAATGATAATTATGTGGAGAGAGGTAGAGATTGGTCACTGAATCTTTGTTCATCGAATCAACAACCAGTGAACACATGTAATAGGAAGAATGCAACACCTACACCAGAGATGTAGAAAATCGTGCTACTAATAAATGAAAGTAAATCATATGAGGTGACATAGCTATAAGAATCAGATGTTAAGAGTTGTATGATTCCATTGATATGATTGTAAGTAATGATAATTTATGCTCGATGCCTCATCAAGTAAATAGTAGTGTATCACTGTGTGTTATCAATCAAATAAACAAATGCAATGTGGAATAAAATTCTACCACAGTGCTTAAGTTTTACACTTATACTCTCAGGATACTTATGTATGATAAAATCATCCTATGAACACAGTTAGAGGCGTTTGAAAATCGAAGTCCTCTCAGCAGATAAGTACACATTCATGTAGTAGGCAGTGAGCAACAATTGACTACCGAGATCATGATATTAAGAGCGGGTTTGGTAACGATGACCAATCGGTTGAAAATGAAGTGCTTAGAACAATGAACCACAGCAGTAAATATACAATTTTATATAGGTAATTTATGAAATCAATCAGTTATAATTGAAATTTTTAGAAAATTGGAAATAAATTCTTACAAAATCTCGATAAACGTATCACTGTAATGTATCAATCAAAGTTTACTGAGAGCAACCTAAAAATTAAAAAATAAGTTGACTAAAATACTTAGGAGACGTGTTGCTCAACATCTGCCTTTACGACTATGGAAGAGACAGATAAGGACAATGCTTTCACGATTATTCACCTGCATACCATCTCATCTTTCGAAAGGTATTCAAACTCATCTTTTACACAGCAGAAGTTGAGGGAATTCGAGCTAATAATCCTAGTCTTTGTATCCAGAAGAAATTTGTACATCCTTTATCTCTCCCCTGGCCAGGGAATACCTAGTCAATAAGATCATCATTAAAAAATCTTCCTACCCCCTTCCTTATTGTTCAGTCATTTCATATACTTACTGTATATGTCTAGACTTTGTTTATCCACTTACGTCGTCCTTCAGTATTACGTAACTTTAATTCTCCCAAGGTTTTGGTCCATCTTTATTATCGGAGTGTCTACATTTTCATGCTGTTTTCTTGGTTGTTATCATCATTATCATGCATACTGTAAGTGGTTTAGTCAACGTTATCACTTTTATCATCCTTATTAATTGTATGATTATCACCATCGTTATTCTTAAAACATTTATCACATCAAACGACAAATCTACATGATTGGTTTAATTTTTATGTATATTAAGCTATTTGTATTCGAGAAAAGCCTGAAGAGGATCTAACTGAAAACAGTATTGTTAGCTTATATGTTTTGTTCAAATAAGTTGGCATCGTTCCTCATTTCAAAAATATCCTGATATATAACTAAAAGGGCGCTGGCTGAGGATAATTTAAGCATTTTAAGAAGTGACTACGGCTGTATCCTGACTATTAGTGTAATATTTTAACAAACTTCGGACTAGCAAACAAACAATAAAGCTTATGCATATATATATATATATATATATATATATATATATATATATATATATATATATATATATATATATATATATCGTAATGTGCATTCATTAATTTACTTGGTTGTGGCTAGCAGAGGAATCCAGGACGCATATTTCGTCCTATTCGGGATTCGTCAGCTGGATGTACTTACACTCCAGTGAGTGACGTTGTTCCCACTGAGACTCTAATCTCGTACCCATCGCTTCAAACGCCAAGACCTTACCCATTGGGTCACGGAAGCAAGATAGTCACCTTTTGTACAATGGGTATTAGTTATTGCTATTTGTTGATATACTTGTCATTCTCCGTTGTTTTACTGAAACGAACTATCCGACCTCTATTGGCATATGGGCTCCTACGTGGATACCTCAATATTACTCGAATGTTAATTATAATAATTTACCAATACCCGTTGTACAAGAGGTGGCTTATCTTGCCTCCATGACCTAGTGGATAAAGCCTTGGCGTTTGAAGCGATGTGTACGAGGTTCGAGTTTCAAGGGGAACAACGTCACTCACTGGAGTGTAAGTACATCCAGCTAACGAGTCCAAAATAGGACAAAACGCACGTCTTGGATTCATGTTCTAGCTGCAACCAAGTAAATAACCATAATTAACATTCAGGCAATATTGAGGTATCCGTATAGGAGCCCATGTGCCAATTGAGGTCGAACAATTCGATTCAGTAAAACAACGGAGAATCACAAGCATATCAATAAATCCATTCATGAACATTGTTTGCCCACAGTGTGTTATTCTGCACTGCGATAGAATCTAACCAAAAGTGCACCACCTTCCTATTTCTCATATTCACGTAAACAAGACTATCGGGTAACCGAATTCATACTGTACACAGCAAGTACTTAAGAAAATGTATTCATGGAATAATTCATATAGTAAAGAGTCAACATGTTCACGGTGACACACATGATAAAGGAAAATAGACTTACCTATTGATACGTGACGCGAAGTACCAAAGAAGAAGTAAACTAGGGCAGGGAAAAATGAAGTATACAACCCATTTACAGGTTTGACACCAGCCAAAAGTCCATACGCCATCCCTAATGTTTAAAGAAATCAGGATAAAACTAAAATCCCTCAAAGAAACCAACCTTGTGGTATATGAACTATAGACATTGTCAGACCAGCAACTATATCTGATAAGAACGACTGAAAGGTGTAAAATGAAGACAAAACCGAGTAGAATGGGAAGATGAATGAAAATATACTGAAAAGTTTTAAAAGTGTAAAACTTTTCAGTATTCTGAAGATAGAAAATTGTTTTCGTACATCTTCAGATCGAGGATACTGTTCTGAAAACTTGTCCACACTGTAGACTTGACGTGTTACTGAATATGTTGAATGAACGAAACAATCATCAATGATGTCATTATCTTTTGGCATCTAAAAAGTTTATCAATTATATATTCATATTACTCATTGAAAAAAATATGCGCATAACACAAAATTTTCAGTAGACTACTTTACTGATTCATCATTATCAACATAGGACCAGGCATTACTGCGTAACGGTCCGAGTTGCCACACCTCATATCAGCACATCAAGTAAAGAGGTAGTGAGGCGAAGGATGAAGATAAGTGAATGCAGTCAAAAGAAATATAAAGTACGAGAAGAAAGGAAAGAGGAGTGACAAAATGGTGAGATTCGGTATAGCGTTGTTAAGGTGAGGATAATGTGTGTATACATCTGTGCCACTGACTTCGGTTCTGAGCCATATCACCTAGGGTCTCCAACCACTGGTTCCTCTTGTCCCGTGGACACCAACCGACAAGTCTGCATCGTCCTACATGGCTTAAACCAACAGTCAGAGACTTCATGTATTGGTGCCATGTTTTAGTCTGGCCACCTCGGGCCTTTTTCTAGCCTGGACCCACCTCAGCCAACATTGTGTGATGAGGCAATCGGTGACTAGGCATACGTAGTACGTAGTACTACTTTAGTGAACAGAATATTGTTAATAGTAGACAAGATATCTTCACCAGTTTTGCTTAAAAACATCAAAAAACTTCTGACGAGAAAGTTTTGACAAAAATTCCCTTAGAAACATATTGCACAAGTTACAAAAGAGGAATTTTTGTAGGTTTGAAATTACTGTCTTTTATCAGTATCCCAGATTAAATATATATCCATGTAAATTGTTATCCATTAAGTGATGTTCAAGTTGCGTAATAAAAACAGACAATAAGCTATGACATATAGTAGTATATAATAGTAAGTTTAACTACTAGTGTACTATAATGGTTCAGAAAGGAAAATAGTTTCGATGAAGTTTATTTCTATGACGATGAAGATTTTTTTTTATTCATTGCGTCAGATATTTATAACTTCTATAGTATAATGATAAATAAACACTCAGGGCAGCTTATATTATTTATTGGATACTAAATACTTATACTCAACAGCTATGAATACGTTTAAAGTATGATGTAACGAAGTAATATATGTGTTAACTTGCTTATTGATAGCATTACATAAAGCTTAAGCATTGTTAACTTAAAAATGCTTCAACCATCATACCATAACTTTAAAACCATTTCATATGTTTAGTTTTAAACAGCTGGATACTTTCCTTGTCTTTAGCATACTGATACATAAAGTTGTAATGCTTAGTGAGTTGTTTTACTTACAACTAATCAACTTTCGATATACCACTTGTTGCGTATTATAAATACGGTTTAAGAGAGCTATCCGATAAACCATACCATAAGTGATTTTGACACTTTTCAAACAGAAATCCATTACAAACTGGAAACTAGAGGCATACCTTTAGGTTACTTAGCGAGTGTAACTGTTTGCCATGTTCCAAACTTTATCGATAACAGAATGACAATAACACTCGATATATCTCACTCTTACTTAAAACAATGTATGTGCGAAAACTGTTCATTCCATTTGGGAAGTGTACATGCAATGGCTTAAGGTTTTTCCCAGAAATATGTTGTATCAACTATCCATTCCATTTCAAAAAAGATGAGTTGTTCAAAGTCACAAAGCGATACGAGGTGTTCTGTGTTATTGATCAAAACAGGCATGGAGATACTGTCAGTATCTATGGTTTGAAACCAGCTTACCTGAGAAAATCCCATTATAAGCAATACCGTTTCCAGTCATAATGGTCAACCTATAAATTACTCTCAGTATTTAACATCCTGACATTCTATTAAAGGATTTGGACCAGTAGCTATTACCCGCTACGAGAAAAACACGTTTACATAAAACCGCCAGATATCCAGAACATTTCCTAACTTACTTGAATGATTAGTGTACATGAGAATGTGTCATCTATTAGCTTCCTCTTGATGGTACTATTTTTACTGACAACACAAAATCTTTTATATTTTATATCCATTTGGGATTACTTTTTCGTAAACGCAGTGTTCTTCTTTCTGAATCGATGTCAAGTTTTTCTATAAACATCTTTCTCTCTGTAGTTGTGAGCGCTTTTGAAAAGACGAGTGGTTTTTCACGTTCAGCTGAATTTTTGGCATTTTTGTGTTTACACATCAAAGTTGTTGTATTTTCGCTCTAATTGAAATATTTTTGAATTAAAGTGAAACAGTAAATTTTATGGATGAATTTCTACAGTGCCACGTGGTGAACCTAAGTGCCATGCCAGTTCTCAGTAGCCTCTGGTAAGCAGTGTACCGAATGTTGGAGTTGGTTCCACGACAACTGCACAAGCCTCACACCCTCAGCATATAAGAGGTACAGTAACGCAAGGAGTGTCTGGCTTTGCATGTTGTTCTGCTCGGATATTCGCACTTCTAAATACGATAAAGAAGAAACTAGCGTCCAAAGGGGAAGTCGATAACTGTGATAGTGATAACGATACAACATCCTGTGATACACAGATTGCTGTGTGAAATTTTAGGAACGTCCCACGACAAGCTGTAAATCAACAGCGTAGACTACCTACCAGGTTTGCTGACAATAACTTAGAAAAAAGTACGCAAAGTAGGGTGAAGCGAGTATCTTTAGGTTCTCACATCCTCAGCCTGAGAACTACCGACCATAAGAATAGGTCTGCTTCCGATGAAAAAGACAGGAGTGAAGCACTCGCAGTGCCAACCACGTAACCATGCAGGCAGCAGATCATACCCAGTTCGGCGACCCAATCAGTGGATACAACTACACAGAATGGGATGCAAGTCGGTTATGAGGCTGTCAGTGTCAAGGCTACCAGACTAGGCTTTAGTAAGCCATACATACCCAACTCTGAGAAACGGAAAGTAATCAAGTTTAAACGGTATGCCAAGAAGCCAGTAACGGTCATCGAACCAACTGCCATCACTCCACGAAGCAAAGATAAAGTAGAGATCCTTGATAGGTCTGTAATCTTCCATAGAGTGGATGGTAGAGACCCAGAACCACGTAAATGTTTCGAACATGACCTTGGCAGGGTACAAAGTTTGATGAAGCAGCTTTTACCAGAAAACATACTAGGAGTCACCCTACTCAGGATATTTAGAGTAGGCAAAAAGGAGATAGTCCCCACTGAAAACAACTTTCGGCTATTTCAAGTCATGTTCAGGTCAAGAGATGAGAACGACCGGATTCTAAAGAACACTCATAGACTTCAAAGATTTGGAGTGTTCGCGCATAAGGATTTGGCTCTTGCTTGAGTCAAAAAAGGGAGGCAGAAGCAGAACTTAAATCCAGATTAGCAGCAGGACAGTAAGATCTAAAGGTAGTAGGCTTTCATGTAGTGAAGTTTTGGCAAAAAATGAAGCCGAAACCTCTATGGATAGGACGAAACTCATCTAAATAGTTTCACTGTCCGGTATACAAATGCACGTAGTATCTTAAAAAAGTGGACTGAGCTCAGTAATGTGATAAGCATAGAAAGTACTGGCATCATCGCTATCGCAGAAACTTGGTTCTCTTCTTGGATTAGTGACTATGAAACAGATTTCAGAGGATTCGTTCCTTTTAGAAGTTATAGGTCAGCACGCGAAGGCGGTGACGTCATCTTTTACGTTAAAAATACCTTGACTGTACAAGCCATAGAAACGGTTGCACATGGAAGTAGAACATGTGGAATGCTGCGCTTCTTACTAAAATGCAAGGAACAAGATGTTAACGTAATCGTAGTACGTTGAAGCCCTGAATGTGAAGCAGCAGACTTCTTCCTGAATAAGCTGACCATCTGGACAGATAACTTTCGATGCATAGTTGTAGGAGACTTCAACACATCATCAGTTGACTGAGATAGACCAACAACAGAAGCATCACGTAGCTCATTTGACCACAGGTTAGTGGGAACATCAATTTCCTTGGCCTCTGTGCAGTACATTAGGGCAGCAATCAGATATGACCATCAGCATGCCCTATCGGTTCTAGACTTAGTATTTTCACACACAGATGATGTATGCCTCATCCGACACCTTGCATCCGTTGATAAAAGTGGTCACGCTATGATCGTCTTCAGATTCACGGCAGCCGTTTTGCACAAGGCCAATGATCCAGTTAGATCCCATGTATGGAGAGCGAATATGGAAACTATTAAGTTGACAGCCTCTTCGGAGGACCGGACAGTCAGTCCAGAAGCTTCAGTTGAAGCTTTATGGTGCTCCTTCAAACAGTTATATGCACAAGTGACTCAACCGTTCATTCTGTGGAACGTTCCGAGAGGACGCAAACATTGTGCTCCGTGGGAAAACCACGGAAACCGAATCTTGCTACGACGTAAGAAAAAGTGTTGGAGTCTTGCCACCCCGTCCGGTACTCCTGAGGTGTTGAAGCATTACAAAGAAGCCCGGAAGAAATACATCGCTGATATCCACCGGTCTCGAATATACCTTAAAACACGTTTTGCCCAGGCTGCACTGCGACATACAAAGGTTATTTTCCCATTTGAACTATAGAAATAAGATGTATCGTGGTATCCCCGCCGTAATCAAAGGGACAGAAACTGACTGTTTGATTGAAGACGATAGGGAAAAAGCAGAAGCCATGGCTGGATACTTTGCTGAGGTCTTCACACAGGAATCTTCTGTGGACATTTATTCAACAGCAGAAGCACTGATATCCACAGAATAAAATCTGTAGATGTGGATCGTAATGAAGCATTTAGGACACTAGGTACTCTCAATGTAGGAAAATCAACGGAACCGGACAAGCCACACTTAAGGCTCCTCAGACAGCTTGCACTCCATGTAGCCGGCCCATCGACTGCTGTATTAAGACTGTCCTTCAGTGAAGGCACACTCCCCTATGACTGGAATAATGTCAGTCATACCTACCTACAAGGCAGGTCCTAGGCAGCTCCCATCAAATTACAAACCGATAAGTTTGACTAGTACTGTAGTGAAAACTCTAGAAAGAGTAATCAAGAAAGCCATCACAGTTCAACTAGAGAGCAACACTTTACTGTCTCGTTCACAGCACAGTTTTCGTAGAAATGTCTCTTGCTTGACGAACCCCTTACAGTCGTAGAAAGTTGGGTTAAATCTAAAGGTTAAAGAATACTTGTAGATGTCATTTTCATTGACTTTAGTAAGGCGTTCGACAAAGTACCCCATCCCAGGTTGCTCGGGAAACTGGAAAGGTTTGGAATCACGGAGAGTCTGCCTGCATAGATAAGAGAATTCTTTGTCGGTAGGAGACAAAGAGTAAGGGTCAATTCTCAACTCTCTTCCTGAAGGTCGGTAGACAGTGAAGTGCCAAAAAGCACAGTCCTTGGCCCCCTGGTATTTCTCCTACACAAAAATGAGCTGCTAAATATCACGAAATCCCCTACAGTTCTCTACGCTTATGATGTAAAAATCTGGCGGGGAATCAGGAATGACGAGGATACATAAGCATTTAAGGCAGACCTAAACAGCTTGTTTACCTGGTAAGAGAAGTGGCTGGTGCTTATCAACGCATGTAAATGTGTGAGCATGCACTTGGATTACACACATGACAACATATACGATATTGATGAGACTCTTCCACCCTCAGTACTGACCCAAAATGACTCAGGAGTCACAGTGAGTTATGACTTGAAACCACGGCTCACTGTCGATTGGTAGCAGCTCGGAGTTTTTGGACACTTTGGGCATTACGCAGAACGTCTACGAAAATAAGCAGTGATATGTTCACCATCTTATACATATTCTTAGTTAGGTCTGAATTAGAAAAGTGTACATACGCGGCAAATCCTTGTCTGAAAGGTGACGCAGAATTTCTACAGAGTTCAGAGGGCAGCCACTCGTATGATCTCTACGAAAGCTGGCCTCACCTATGAAGACCGACTTAAGAAGCTGCACCTTTTCACTTTGTTCTATCGCAGACACAGGGGAGATCTAACTATGCTATACAGGATTCTAAGAAATAACTTTAGACGTGATCTATCTTCACTTTTCCTTCGCACTAGGTCAAGACACCTCAGAGAATATAGCAGGAGATCAAGAAAGGAAAGAACGGACATGGTCTACGAAGAGTACTGGTTCTAGCACCAAGTAATCAACTCCAGGGACCGACTACCTGAAGAAGTGGTGTCTACATTACCGATTGGTTCGTTCAAAAAGGGATTGGACAAGCCCAGAAATCTACCGGAAAAGGATCAGTATAATCTCACAGCTTTCTATCCCCAAGAAAATGTGTATCTGTACACATTGTTGCCATTTTTATTTCGGTCAAATTTAATCAAGATGCTATAAATTCCGGTTTTTATTCCAGCTGTCACCAGCACTGAACTTAAACTCAACGAAACGCGAGGATCGCGGTCAACTTTTCACTCGATTGAGCGTTATCGTTTGTAATGGCACTTTATAGTAATCGATAATCAGGGTTCAATCTACTCAGTTATCATTTAGGCTATTACTATCCCAGGGTTGTTATGAACTCATTGAAGAGTAACCTGTAGTGTGAGTTGACTCTTTGATACCAATAGCTTTCGATACAACGAAATTTACTATCACTGTTGACCTATGAGGTCTGATCGAACTTGTTAGGCTGAAGGTATATGTTCGTGCATCCACGCAACTAGGGCTTTTTATATCACATCGTATTGCTCCATAACAATCGCCTAGTCATCCATCTCAAGCATCTCAGTATAATGGCATAGTGCAATAAATACGCGATTCCTACCTAACTGATGAACTATTTTGTTTCTTAGCCTCACATTCGTGGGTGTTCGACAAACACAAACCATTATTGGTCAGTTTTGGGTCTATACACATTGCATGTGACAACTTATAAAACATCACTAAATTACTATTTTCATCTTCTTTGGAGTATTTCTGACGGCTTGTTTGCTACCTTGAATTTCTCACCAAACATTTTTCCTACCAATTATATCATTCCCAACTGAACTGGCTCAAGTTTAATAGAAAATTCCTACGAGTCAATTAAGAAAAGCCGAAGTACACTTTTCTCTGCCCTTCATACACTCGCACACACTACAGTTTGCACAAAGAGCTGGTATCACTAACTAACAAATAGGACTTCTTATGATTAATTACAATAAACTGTACACCTTTACTGAGTCACTTCACGAGCAATATTTCTGACATAAGCACTTACGTGAAAGCTTTGATACCTTGAAGTTGATCACAACTAATTAACATGGAGTTGTAATTAGCTGAATATGAAGACGGTAAAATAACCGCTAGTACTGACTATCATGAATGGAAAATTTGTCCTTGGAGCGAAACCTTCTGGAGTTTGAATAGGGGTATTTCGAAGTAAGTTACTAAGGCAAAAAGTTCTGATTTGAGAACAGGTCCGAAATAACACCGAGTTTTTCGGTTCATTGCGAATGTTTACGTACATGATGAATAGATGTCAGCAAAATATCAAGCAACGTAAATGATGCGATGCTAGGAACCAAACTGGCACAGACCCACTGAAGTTAACTCAGCACTCACTTAGACCATTTTGAAGAAGTTTTAGGAAAAAAAAGATAAAATTTGGAGAATGTTGACAGAGGTTTGATGCAATATGTCTAATTCTAAGTACTCCCAGAAAATTTCGGGAAATCATGCATAATAATGATGGATAGTGGCTAGCAGTGGAGTCCAGGATCCGCATTTTGTCCTATTTGCGACGTAAACACAAAAATATCACATTACTGTTTCCTATAATGAGCGAAAAGCACTGTAAACATGACCTAAAATGGATGTTGGATAAAACTCATTTCCCATGAAATATTCGCACTGACTGTCCCACCCACAGTCCTGCTTCACAAAATCATGTCAGCTGGTACAAGTGGACCCCTACTCTCTTGGTTCAAGGAGTACCTGGAAGGGGGCAGTTCTGCACCAAAGTAAACAAAATAAGGTCGGAGTGGAGACCATGGATATCAGGAGTATCCCAAGGAGCAATCCTAGAACTACTTCTGTTCCTCCTGTTTGTCAATGATCTACCAGACAAAATATCCTCATCCATCCTCCTCTTCACTGATGACATTAAAATTTGGAGGGTATTAAACGAAGAAGTGGACTGTACAGCACTACAAAAGGACTTGCAGCAACTCGAATTCTGGTCGTCGAAAAATGGCTTGAGCTTCAACCTGGAAAAGTGCAAGGTAATGCACAACAGTAGATATGAAGCAAATACAACCGACTTCCAGTACATTATGAGCAGCCATGTTATCATCAGTGTCCATGGAGAAAGATTTGGAACTCAGCTTCTCCGATACCTTGAAAACTAGCTCCAATTACAAAGATATGACAACCAGAGCGAACGTCATTTTGCACTTCCTGCATAGACAGCTTGGCGCCCTCAGCCCCGAACTCCTCCTCATCGTTTTCAAGTCCTACGTGCGGCCGCACCTAGAGGTCTTCAATACGGTAGCCCCCCAACACTCAAGAGATACTCTAGTCTCCTTGAAAAATACAAAGAACTGCAACAAAATCAGTTGCGGGGCTAAGGGGAAAGACATATCCGGAAAGACTTAAACACCGAAACCTATTCACCTTGGGTTATCATAGGAAAAGGGGCGACCTTGTTATGGCCCACAAGATCACCTATCAGGTAAACCACGCAAACAAATCAACCTTGCCTGTGACACAGTGGTCTTCATAGGGAAACCTCATTAAGATAGCACAGCAGAGAGCCAATACCATGCTACGGTCCAATTTTTTCTCCCTGAGATTATGCGCTTTATGGAACACCCTATCGCGACATGTAGTCACAGGCCCTCAGTTTACTCATTCAAGAGACGGTTAGACAGTTATGTCACCTCACATGGTACTCAGGGAGTCATCAACCTCACTAGCCCACCATCACCTTCTACCTACCACTCACTATCTCGCTCCTTAATACACCCAAATTACCTAATACTTTTCTAGGAAATAGACCTACGCTATCTACTTTTACCTTTTGGCCAACTCCCACATATTTTTCTCTCTCTTCTCCACCCCTTCCTCTTTTCTTTTATCTCTTTCTTTTTATCCTCTCTTTTTTCCTCATTCTTTGCCACTGCCTTACTATTTTCCTCCATACACCTACACAGATAGTAGTGGAGACGGTCCCCTGACCTTCCCGGAAAGCCGTAGCTCCCCAATCACTCTACAAATTACAACTTACTAACCCACATAAAACAGCCTCACTGAAGCTGAAAGCAAGAAAGCGGAGGGGATTTCCTCGCCTACTGCAGAAATGAACCAAACAACTCGAGCCAAGCCTTAAGAACTAAACGCAAGAGATCAAAAACTATCAGTTTTCTACGCTCGCCCTATCAATACTGTATATTGGATTACACTTCAGCTCGGGTACAAGCTGCAGACTTCGAAAATTCTATGCAGCGATTATAGTTTCCCAAGCTTTTGGAATCCAGTGGTGGCTGTTTATGCTCCATGCTCACACACTTTTCTGTTAGCCGAATATTCAAAGACTCAAACTTATAAATGGATAAGCACTTCCGGAATATTTGAATAAATGACACAATGTCAGAGTAATCATGTTGAAGATTTGGATGGCTTTTTAAAATATCTGACCATGAAACATTTTTACAAATCACAAGTTCTCACACAAACTATAAAACGTACAGTAACGACCTCTGGTGAAAACTATTTCATTTACCGCTACGCTAAGAAGATATTCTTAGTAAGGATAAACAAAGTCTCACATAAGATTGAGTATGAAAATCTGATAACTTTAGAGCACTTAAGTCTACTTCTTGAGGAAACTTCTGGTTTTGCGGCTTCGCTTCTGCAGTAAGTAAGGAAGTCTTCCATGCCTTCCAACTTTCAGATCTGGTGAAATTATTGTTGTCGCTTTGTATGTTCTCCAATATCTTTTTACGACCTAGTGTAAACCAACTGATTTCTTATCTGATCCAGGTCTTTGGTGGATCCCGATGTAGTAGGTCTATTTACTCGAGTGCCGTAGCTTTGGTTAGCCCTACGGGCAGTTGGGTGTTTGTTAATTTGTAGGCAGTGTGTTGTTTTTTTCTTCCTAGGACAGTGGTGTAGGTGGGTTCCTCAAGTGTCATACCAGCAAACAATAGGTAGAACCGGTCTTAAGAAAGAGGTGGAAAATATGATCAGAGAAATCAAGGGAGAGAAAGAGCAAAGAAAAATAAACAATAGAAAAGAAAGAAAAAGACAATTAGGGATGAGAAAATGGTAGGAAGAAGGAACATTGGTAGATTCATGGGAAAGAGGTGGTAGGCAGAGCCTTTATTAAAGTATGAGAACGCACAGCCAGTAGGAAGAGGGGTAAATAGCATCATAGGACGGCTTATGGGAACAGAGATAGTAATTCCCTTGGTAAGAGGGGAGAGGATGTCCATAGGGAAGTATAAGGTTGAGCCAAGTTCACAGCGATAGTAGTGTTACAAGGTATCCGATAATGGGTCAGTCGTACCGAGTTAGTAGGTCACATCAGCCTAGTCCATATCCCAGCTGGATGGGTGCAAACCGTGCGTCGCTGCGTAACTGTTCAGCCTCTTCTTGAAGCTGCCAACAGATGAAGCAGTAGCAATCTCTGTAGGCAGTGCGTTCCAGCGGCCATAAACTCGCAGAGAGAAGAAGCATGACTGTACATGGGTTTCTGCCCTCTGGTGGGCGGTTCTCGTTGGGTTACCACGAGGATCGCCACAGTAGCCGTTTGGTAGGGTTCTACTGTTCGGATGACCTGGGTTATTTAGTGTTTTGTAAGCCGTTATCAAGCCACCATTCCGTCTACGGTAGCCTAGAAAGTAGAGTCCTAGGTATTTCAGCCTGTCTTGATCTGGTATTCGCCTCATTCACACGACACTGTAGCTCGTCTTTGAACTTCCTCTAGGAGGTTCATGTCTCTTTTCAGATATGGTGTTGCAGTGACGTTATGGACCTCTAAGTGAGGCCGTGCGTTGGTCTCATACAGCTTCAAAGATAGTTCTGGGGTCAGGGCACCTAGTTGTCTGAGCATGAAGTGCAGTACTATGTAAGTTACAGAGGCACCTGCTGGATAATTGGAGCCAGTGGATGGTTCGTCGGTCAGTATTAGTCCCAGGTCTTTCTCCGTGGTGGTGTGGGAAAGTTATGTTCCACAGAGAGAAATGGGTACCTTCTGAGAGTCTGGGTGCGGAAAAATATGGACTGGCACTTATCCGGATTAAATGCTGGTCCATTAATATCCACCCACGCTGCCTGTAATCTTAGGTCACTTTGCAGTGTAACTGATTCTATTTCCGACGTCACGTCTCTCCTTAACTTAACATCATCAGCATAAAGTAGAGTTGGGGAGCTGAGATTCGGTGAGGGGTGATTCACAAAAGAAGAAATGGCAGCGGACCTAGAATCGCTCCTTGTGATACACCAGTTGACGATGTATTCCATATCAAGTAACCCTGTTGGCTTTTGTGCAGAATTGTCTGCCGTCTAAATAGCCCTGTAACCAGGAGAGCACTTGACTCACGGCTGGCACCCTTGATATACCATGAATAAGAATGGTGTGTGGGACTGGGTCGAAGGCCTTAGCAAAATCCAGGAAAATAACGTGGACAGGAATTTGGAGGTTCCAGCATGCCGTCCATTCATCGTTGGCCACCAGAATGTTCTAGGCATAGGACCTTACCTTTCTGAAACAATGTTGAGCACCGCTCGGTGCTCCCCTCTTTTCTAATTACTTCATGATATGGTCATCTACCAGGCTCTCCAGCACTTTCGACACCTCCGGTAGAAGGGCCATGGGTCGACAGCATTTTGGGTTCCACCTGTCTCCTTCTTTGAAGATTGAGGACATAATAGCACGTTTCCACCATAGTGGGGGCGTGTGATTGTCTTAGGAGTTTTGAAACAGATCATGCAGTGGATCCCGCGAAGCACCTGCACGTTGTTTCAACATAGTCGGCCAGGTGTCATCGCACCCTGGCGATTTCCCCATGCGAAGCTTTGAAGGCTTTTCAAGAACCATAGCAGGGGTTACCTTTATTCCAGGCAACTCCACTGCATTTGGCGGTGCTGGTCGGTAAGTTGGCAGTTTTGGTTAGATGGAGACATGTTCAGTTGCTTGTCGAGGGTGGTGCTAGGTGCTTTGGCCATCCCAGTCCGGAGAGGTTCTCTCCGTTCAGGCTTTTCAGGACGCAGGCCCTGTGGCTGGTGTATTTTTGCCCACCATAAATCGATATAGGTCTCCGGGGTTCACCTCAGACGTCTGGGTAAAGTTCACCTGGAACGACCTTTCGTCCCCCCTTACTTTAATGTTGCATCGATTTCTTAGGACCATACACGTGGTGTGATCGGACTCCTTTCTGGAGGTCCTTCACTCGTGCCATGATTTCCTCTTGGCTTTCAAAAGGCGTCCAATGCCTCGCTTCAGCCATGAGGTCCGCTTCCTCGGTATTGCTGTGATCACTGGGACGTTTTCTGAGATGGCTCCCTTGATGATAGTTGTAAGTAGTTCCCAGTGTTGATCGATCGAAAGCTTACTCCAATTCTGAGGCCATGGTGCAGTCGACGGATACTGGTTCATCACAGTGTAGTTTGCCCTGCTGTATCAAAGACAAAGGAGAGATCTCTCCCATGGCAGTTGTTCGATGAATACCGGATCGAGCATTACCACTCCGTGATCGCTGCTGCCAAAGGGGTTTGGACCTGGATGTTTTAAGCCAGCAGGTGGTCGCTGGTCAAAAGGTAGTCCAGCTTGGATGGTCTTCCGCCCGGCCCCCAGTGAGCATCATCACCAACACTGTCGTGCAGTCCAGCCCTTTTGACTGCGTTCAGTTGGTTCCGGTTGAACCTTCAGCTTGGGTTCCCTTGCCTTGCCCAAGGTTGAGAGTTGGAGCATTTAAGTGGCTGGCTATGCTGACCTTGTCATATCTCATGGATGTCGCTTCGGACTTTACCTGCAGCAGTTATCGGTTATGTTCCACGTTGCTAGTAGGAGTTCTGTAGACTCCTCCTACCAGGTATTTGGTGTGTCCGACCGTAAAGTAACACCAGATGGGGTATGGAAGTTTCACTTGCCCGTTCGCTTTCAAGGCGGTCACTTATAAACATTGCCACTCCACCTCCTTCCTTGAACTCCCTGTCTCTCCTGAACGGATGAACACCGTCTATACTAGTTTTGACAACCAGGTTTCCGTTGGGATCAAGATCCTCGGCGCAAGGCAGGAACAGAAATGACACTTCCACAATCTTACTTCTAAGTCCCCTCACATTATTATAAAAACACTTGGATATGTTTCTAGTCACATGGGGTGTTTTGGTGGTGGCCGACTGAAGGGAGGCGTGCACAGTGGCGAAACTTGCCACGGGATGGCCAGCTGCGGTACGACCGGCCAGATCCCTTTTTCCCACTGTGGGTTCTGGGGATTTTATAGTCCAGGCTGGCTTCGATATCTTGTCTACTGACAGTGATGGTGACTTCAGCAGCAGGAGGGGCTGTCATTTGCTGTTGTCGCAGCGTCATGCGCCCACTTCCACGTCAGTGAGCGTTCCCGCTGATGTTGCCTCTCACAGTGTGCCGAGTTTGCGGTGCTTTGGTTACAAGTTCTTGACGGCCGAGGTTGATACCTATCAACCTGGGTGGTGTTATCGCCGTCAAATGTGAGGGACATGGCAGTCTGCAGACCACCGCCGCCGGTGTGCTATTTAACCCTGATCTCAGTGGTAATCACCGCCACTGCTGGACGTGGTGAGCATACTTCTCCACCACTGTACCGGTTGTTAATCCAGGTATGCTGTGGAAAACCATGGTTGCTGGTTTTGGCATGTGGGGTGCCTCGTGAGATACTTTTCTTGCTGACCTTGGCCGGCCTGGCCCTAATGCTGGATGACCGGTTGATGTCTAGTGTGCGTGACAGCAACAAGTATCTTTCCCCTTCCTTAGGCGGGCTCAGAGTCATTCGTCGGTCTGTGCTTTCCCTGAGGTGCGTAGTTGCCTTTGTAGGGCCAGCACTGCTTTACGCCTAAGCTGCCTAGTCCCAGTATGGCGCATACCGCCTCCCACTGCTGTTTGTCAAAAGACTCTCTGTTCTCAAGAAGGCTATCATGGCACACGGAGAAGTTAAATGGGATGATGGAATTCTATCTGTCATCAACTTCTCTGTTCTCGTGTACTGTGTGTAGGTATTTACACGAAGGGTGCACCTTCTTTTCCACCGTCACCCATTTTCCTTGATGTACAGTGGGGATAGCCGTTCAAGTGGCTTCAGGGTTAGGGACCAATGCGGATGGTCGCGTGCCTGATAGTTGTTTGGGTCTTTTTGGACCATTCACGGATGTGACTGTCCGGGGAACGATGCTGACGCCTTTGTCACCTGGATCTGAGGTAGTGGTCTATGCAGGTGCCGAGATCATAGCAGCCATGCACTGTGTTTTACGACCACCCTAAGCGAGCCTGCAGAAAAGAGTGGCTGAACATGGCACTGTTTGCAAATGTACCAGAACCACGCCCATGGGTAGCCCGCCATGAAGGCATAATATTGGTCCGGTATGTCCTCACCACACTGACTGTGTGCCCATTTATTGCAGATGCTACGCTCAAATGCAGCATCCCTCTTGGCTACGGTGAGACCACACGTATGACAGCCGACAGTCTGACTGGAAGGTTCAGTCAAAGACTTTCTTTTCTTTCTCTTCCGTCTCTCAGTGACAG